AAATAAGTATATATCTATAGCTCTAAGGTTTAATAATCAAGGCAGAATTAAATTATATCGTCTTATTAAATTATGTTCCTTGCGTTGAAACATAATATTATGATTGTAAATCTGTAGCGCATTTATGTTTTTTTTAGGGTTTTTTTCTATCTTGATAAGGGCAGTATGCACAAGAATGATTAGTCCCTTTTCAGGCTGTAATAGAATGCACGTAAAACCACTCCCAACTGCATATTTTGGAACCTAATTCGATAGAGGCCAGCATGTCAAGTGGGTGACAACTGCATCTCAATGGTTGCTAGTGTGTCCAACACGAAAAGACGTATAAGGGCGTCAAGTGAATGCGAAAAAAAAATTCCGTTTCCAAAAGCAGCAGTTTAAACCAAAAAGCCCCGTTGCGAGGTTTCATTTGAAGTGTGTCTCGGGCACCCACCAAATTTGCCCTGTATCCGTGTGCTTGCCGCCCTTAATTCAATTCCAAAATCGAACTTAATTATACGAAACGTTTTCTGAGTGATAGGCCAACCATCGTTGTGACAGTCAGCCGCACAATATTTTGATGAATAATTTAGCAAAACGTGCCACTAGCCCGTTGTGTAAAAAAAGTACGATACACTTTTTATTAAAGATATAGTCCATCATTTGTAATTTGTGCATTTTGTTCGTTTGAAGCAACACAAGTGGTTCAAACTCTAATGAAGGATACTGAACAACTAACCTGTTGAAGTTTCAGCTCAGCTTCAGCTGTATATTCCGAGAAAAACAGCATTCTAGGATCCCAATTTCAAATCAAAAGTTGCTGAATCATGTTTTGAATTGGGCCTGAATTCAGCGTCCGAGACGCGTTCTCACTGAGCCGATTGCAGCTACGCGATGTCGCGCACTATCCGACGAATTGTAGCAACCGCGCGCGCATGTGCGTCGTGCCAATGCTTGCACGCGCTTCGCCGAATAACAAAACAAACTACTAATTTAAATTGTCCTACGGTGCGTCTTAAGACGCACCGTTGGAAAGGCGTTCTTTCGTTGATTACTTCAAATGACAGCTTGCCAGAAAGAATAATTTCACAGGGAGTTTAGTCCCCTTACTATCTTTCAACCAAGTATGTTTTTCAACATTAATTACGCCAGTTACTTTTCGGATGGCTGCAAATGATGGACTATAGCTTTAAATACTTTGGTATCATAGAAGTCGTACGCTTGCTTTGTGACTTCAACCGGTTTGTTTAAAGGCTCCATGAGATAAATTTTTCTTTGGAACACATTTTGTGCAAATTTCTACTTCTCTTAAAATGAATGAAACAAAAATGACATCCTTTTTTGGTTACTTTATTTGAAAAGTGCACTTCTTTAAGCATTAAAGGTTGTTCATGCTTTTACGGTCAACTGAGGGCGGTTTTGCTGTGATGTCATTTCAGGAACACACTTCAGATTTGGTTTTGTGAACCAAAAGATTTTCTCCTTAAAAACGTTTGTGAGAAACGTTTACTCATTGGCTTATATACTGCCGTGTACTGACAAAACGATTAACCAACGAAAAGAGCATCCACGACATAAAAATAATTAAAATCCTAGCATTTTGGGGGGCTGAAAAAGCTGTAACATTCTGATTTCTGCTTGAAATGACACTTTTGCTCATGAGTGTGGAAACTCGCATGCGTACACAAACAAAACAGGCGGCAAAATGCCATTGAAAATGGCAAAATGGACATTGAAAATTATCTTTAAAATCGGACACAAAGGTGCATTTTCAAGGATTGCATTACTAGAAAAAAATACCTTGCATGGGCCCTTTAACGACTCTTGACCGTGTAACTTTCAAGACAAGTAGGTTTAAGTTGAATCCCATTCAGCCGAAGTGGCTTATGCTCTCCAAAACAGTAGTTAATTTGAATTGTGAATATTACCTTGGATTGGACATTTGGGAAACATTCCCATAAACTTGTGCACAATATTTTTCAAAATTAAATGTGCCCTAACCCAATATTCCCTTTTCCAAAAATTTCGATAGTAATAAAGGCACAAGCAACAACAAAACCTGATTGCGACGCTAAAATTTTGCCTCTAAAGGGGAGGAGGGGGGCTGTGACATAATATTGGAGACATAAAAATGTCTCCCTAATTACCGATGTCTCCCACCGTTCGAAAAAATTACGATATCATGTCTCCTTAATGGTACATTTACACGTAATCTTTTAAAGCTATAGTCCATCATTTGCAGCTATCCGAAAAGTAGCTGGCGTAATTATTGTTGAAAAACATACTTGGTTGAAAGATAGTAAGGGGACTATACTCCCTGTGAAATTATTCTTTCTGGCAAGCTGTCATTTTGAAGTAATCAACGAAAGAAGGCCTCTCCAACGGTGCTTCTTAAGACGCACCGTAGGAAAATTTAAATTAGTAGTTCGTTTTGTTATTCGGCGAAGCGCGCGCAAGCATTGGCACGACGCACACGCACCCCCGGATCAGTGCGCGACATCGCGTAGCTGCATTCGGCTCACGAGAACGTGTCTCGGATGCTGAATTCAGGCGCAATTCAAAACATGATGCAACAACTTTTGATTTGAAATTGAGATCCTAGAATGCTGTTTTCTCAGAACATACAGCTGAAGTTGAGCTGAAACTTTATCAGGTTAGTTGTTCAGTACCCTTCTTTAGATTTTGAGCACTTCTGTTGCTTCAAACGAACAAAAATGCACAAATTACAAATGATGGACTATAACTTTAAGTGTTAACATAATTAATACGGCTTGAATTACACTATTGGTAATATACAAATATTATATGTAAATTGTGCGTCGAGTTTCAACCGACCATGATCTCGAATGAAGGTTGGAAGAAAATGTGTCATGCACATTATTATAATAACTTCACGTGATGAAAATTTAATGAGTCAGAAAAATGCAAGTACCACGACATGGCCTCCCTTCATGGTTAATAACGTTTTACGAAACAGAAGGTAACAATGTGAGCTCAATCATTTATCGGTAGCTCTAAAAAGCTTTTTATCAGCGACGCTTTTTTGTCTGGATAGTGAACGTAGTAATTTATTGATGAAAGCCATGTACAGTGTGCATCAAAAAAATGCGAACAAAATATATCGGGGTGCCAGACGTAGAATGTGTAGCCAACATAAATAATATAGGTATGGTTTGAAAGATACGCCTTCCCACTTTAAAATGAGACAACAAACGTCCAAATCTGATAATGTTTGGCAGCGTTATGAGTAATTTTCCAAGAGAGGCCAAATTGACCATGGGACCAAGTTTTCGATTTTAGGCATTGGGACAAGGGTAGCCTAATTGCCTCTGTGTAATGGATATTTGCCTGGCCTACAAAAAATGTATTTAGCGAGTAAATACAATTCTAAACACTTTCTTACTATCACCTCATGATAAAAATGTTCAGCATGTAAAAATGTTCACAAATGTATAGCAAGAAAGTGCTTAGAATTGACAAATCGGGCAATTGTACGAGGAATTACGTCATAGGATCTCTGTCTGTTCTCTTTCTACATGATTAAAGAAGCTTGTTTTTTTTTCTTGAGAGTAGTAAATAAGCCTATCTAGCTTGAAATGTTATAACATTTTGGTCTATGCTATTTGTATACATATGCATCACATAATGCTATTTTCTCCTTATGCCTCCTTTTTTTCTAATTTCTGAGCGAAACTATTTTGGGCTCCCGACAAACAAAAAAATACAAATGAAAATAAATTAATAAAACATTCAGGCAACGAAGCTCTGTGTTATTTGAAAAGCTACTGAAAAACGTCGTATAGGAAATTAAAGGGAAGATACAACATTTGCAAACATCAAAAAAACGAAATGATCAAATTATCAGAAAATATTTCACTGGATTGTTAGGGAATGACTGCATAAAGCATCCTGTAAAATCGTGGCTCCTTGCGTGCTGAAATTTTCAAGAAAACTTCTATTTTTCCAACGCTGGTCGGCCGACCAGCGTTGGAGAAAACTGGCTTTTCTTCAAAAACTGCTCCAAATCGTTCATATTTAGTTATTCTGCACATTCTTTGCAATTGATTACACACTTGTGAATGGCTATGAGCCTGCTAGACAGATTCTTTGACCTTACGATTCCCCAAAGTCTACAAGTTGCTCCATTTCATCTTAAGTGGGGTCAGGGAACCAGACTACAAGAACATGGTTAGTTTTCTTGGATTTTCCAGCGTCTCCGAACCCAAAACGTGAAGCAAGTCAGTTTAACAATATTTTCTGTAACACACCTATCCTCCAGATCCATTTATTTCTGAAAATTGCAGCAAAAGCAAATGTTGTACATCCCCTTTAACCAGTGGAATCCCAGAAGATGAGAGGATGTTACCTCTCATCATATAAGGTGTCTGTAGTATACCTTTATTGGTATGTCATGACTGCCACTACGGCCAAAAATTAGTGAGCTGCTTGGTGCAAATATAATGTAAGTCAACCACAACTTGCCAAATATGGTTTTAGCATTTTAATCTGTGACATCAACTCATGATGAACTGATTGCAATAAACAAGACGAGAGTTAACACGCAATTGGCATAGCTTAATTTAGCCATCTTTACGGGTGCAACTGCGATTGTTTTCTTCAGATTTTTGTTTCGACCGATTGACCCTTCTTCCTCGGAGCCAAAATGTGAAAAACATAGAAACAAAAAGGAACGCTCCAGTACCCTTTTACATGTTAACTGAGGTGGTATCATAATAATACATTAACTACGGACGTCTACCGTAGCAACCACTAACTGACTCGTTTCCTTTTAAATTATACTAATTCGATCATTCCAAAGTTGTTCCAATCAATCACTTATTTTTAACAAGCAGCCAACATATTGAACACAAAGATCAGAGTAGAGTCTGGTCACCCCATCCTAATGTCATTTTGCCGTCAGCAGGTTGATTTATCACGAGGGATAGGATTTGATGATAGTTCAACTCGCGACTTGCACTCTCCGTTGTGTGGAGACAGCTGAAAGAAGGCCATTCATCACCATGTTCTTCGTGAGCACGCTAGTCGTGTTACAAGCAACTTTCTGGGCCGTTCACTCACAAAACTATGGAATTATGGGTAAGTGCATGCCAAACGACAAGATAAATGTTCAGCTAGTGCATTTTAAAAAGTTTCTCGCTAGACATTACCCTAGCTGTGTATTGACTTTTCCTTTAGTTGTTGCCTGTTTCAGCCAGAACGATAACTGGTTAGCTTATTTCAAATACATTTAGTAGGAACATTGTGTTAAGATCTACTGAAATGTACACTGAGTTCAAACGTGCACATGTAGGCCTACTTGTGGACTGCTACTAATGATTTTCAATGTCTGATGGAAATACCGTTTTCCGTTACAATCCATCATTGCTATATATACCAATGGCAAAAAAAAATACATGAAGGTATATTTCACCAACCCTAACAGTCCTGAATCCTATTCTCCAATTTTAATACGATTTTGAACACCTCCTAGAAAGTTAGGGCTAAAAAAATATTTTTCATCAATTACACTTTGCTCGGCACCAAGTGGACCACTGATCTCATGACGTCACGCTTTATTTACATGTTTACATTTCGCTTTCATATGTTCGTGTATGGTTCCAAATTCCACTCAAAGATGTCTACGATTGCGGCGATGTCAGGATTCAACTCGACGCCGGATCACCTGCTGTCACCGTACAGGCCCCGCCGGCCACCAGCGGCACTAGCGCTTGCCTTGCCAACCTAACTTGCACCTGGCTGGTCACCAGCGAGCCAGGCTCCACCGTCTACGTCCAGATCCTGAAGCACCACCCCAGACAGACCTCCTTCGGCTTCGACCCTGCAAACCAAGACGAGGTGCAGATAGGGGTGGGCAAAGACCCGTCCAACTCCACTACCCTGTCCAGGATCAGACTGCATCAGGTGCCGCAGCTCGACGACGGAAGGGTCTATTTTGTCAACAGCAGTTTGGCCTGGGTAAAGGTCACGGCGCATGCACGAGGACCTCCTTCGTGCGTCCAATTCGAATTGATGTTCACCCAGCGGGAAAAACCAGGTACGTTCGAGTAATTACACCTTTTCCCTTTCCGTCAAAAGCAGCTTGGCGTAGCTAGTTTGAGGTCACGTTGTTTTTCACAAATCATCTACAAACCTAGCATCTGCTCAGGCCTGGATACATTCAGCCTCGTGTGTGCGTCTCTCGGCTTTGAATAAATTCTGCCTTTTTGCTTTGTTAACTCTGTTCACGCACACATCAGGTATTTGCGAAGGGAATACCGTCCTGTGTTCTTACTCCTCGGTGTGTCTGCCTGCCTCGTCCTATTGCGACTCCCACGTGGACTGCGGTGACTTCTCGGACCAAATCGACTGTGGTAAGTTCAGTTGAAATCGGTAACAGTTTAATTGCTCATAGTGGGTATTGCTGACACTGCTGACCTGAGCGTTTTGAAATGTGGATCTTTCTTATCTCAATATGAGCAGAGATGTGTGGAAACACGACGATCCCACCGCTGACACCAGGCGTCCCACACGTCATAGTCTACGCCGCATCGTGGACGCCTACATCTTCTAACCGACTGAATCCTCCACACACCGACTGTTTCTGGCTGATCAGGGCTCCTAACGGCACAATCGTCGAGATCAACGTCCTTGCCAACAATAAGGTCGGCCCCGCCATTTCTCTTGGCGTCGGAGAGGGGGGTGTCACGGAAGCCTCGGAGTTATTGTTTAGCCTGGGTGCTGGAGCTCTACAGATCCTCTACACAAATGAGACCAACCTCTGGATGCTGACAAACATATCACCGGTTAACTACTACAGAAGGGCTGTTTTTGAGGTCAAACTTACTGCGTTCATAAAACAAGGTAACTCTCTGGTGATTTAATTCAGAGACAAAAGCTGTAGGCATACGACGTTAAACAAACATTGGTCTTCGCGATACCTCCCAATTGACTTGGTACTCGGATGCTATACAGAGAATTTAAACCGTATTGATACCATGCAGTGACATTCACTTTTCTTTTATCTAGATTGTAAACCAGATGAATTCCAGTGCCGGAACCAGAAGTGTGTAGCGGCACATAGACTTTGTGATGGCGTACCGGACTGTCAAGTGATGGAGGACGAATACGGCTGTGGTAATACAATAAGAAAAACAATAAAGTAAAAAGGATATTTTACACCAATATTACTTTATACCTAGGGCCACGGAAATTTTCTTAGCACAAAATACCCCACAGCATAAAAAAACTGAAGCATTCAATACACAGTAACTGTAATCGGCTGAATTTTGGTGATGGGCTGGTTTCTGGTGATCGGCTGATTTTTTGGTGATCGGCTGATTTTTGGTGATCGGCTGGTTTTTGGTGATCGGCTGATTTTTGGTCATCGGCTGATTTTTGGTCATTGGCTGATTTTTGCTACTCGGTTGATTTTTGATCAGCACGAACATCCTGCTGAGCAATACTTTTCGTTAACTAGCTCCATGAAATTTGGCCTCAGTAGTGAACCGCTTAAATGGACTCGAAATACATGGTAATACCGTGAGAGCATCAGTGTAAATCTTGGTATATTACACAAAGGCCAATAGTTGTGACTTATTCTTGCTTACACTTTTACAAAATAGAACCTCCTTGTTTCGGTCAAGAAGCATTCAAGTGTCCATTGCACGACGAGTGCGTGAGCTCAAAAGATGTTTGCAGTGGGAAGAATCAATGCTGGTATTCCTGGGACGAGCTCGACTGCGGTAAGTTCCACACATAAAACAGCAAAACCTGTCACATTGAGTTTTGTGGTTTCTTTTCATCTAATTATTGTCAAGTTGCTTCACTCGAAACCAAAGTTCTTCAAAATTTGAATCACTGTTGATTCATGGATGCACAAGTATAAGGGCAGAAGATCTGGGAAAGCTGCGACACAAAGCAACTGATCTTAATTCTCAGTAACAGACCACTATCATGTTGATTTTTCCATTCAAATCAACGTGATCATAAAGTGAGATTGGAAATAGTCTGGATCCTTTTGCACACAATATTATCATTCAGTACTCTTAATGGATACACGGAACATGACTGAAATGGTGGCAGCATGATAAAGGTCTATACCTGGCAGCTTCGGCTAATACAAGTGGCTCCGTGAGTGAACAGTGTTTCGGTGCCGGAATTGGTACAACAGTCTTTCAGATGTTAACATTTGCTCTCATGCTCTATTTCCAGGTCGATGCGGCGGTTTACACATCAGCCTGACCCCAAATGAAACATTCAACCTCAGCCAGACGATCGACACCTCAGTGGAGTGCATCTGGCTGGTGTCCGCTTCTACCAACAACTCAAGGATCCGGGTGGAAATCTTGGACTTGCCCATTTACGAATTTTATTCAGACTGGACCCCTGACGTATATGCCGGTCTCTTTTTTGGCAATGGGCACGAACCTTCCCCAACCACACGAACTCACTACTTCACATCGATAAGGTATCTGGGGACTATCAGCTTTGAAGGCCCTCACTTCTGGATCTTGCTAAATAAGCGTTCACAAACTTTAAACAGCCCTGGCCGCCACTACGTTAGACTCAGCATCACGGAGTATTACGAAAAAGGTAATTGAAGTGGACACTTTAGCCTTTTCTATCAGTGTTGTACACAGCGGGCCACAAGTCACCGTGTTCATGAGTAAATCACAAGTCAACAAAGGGATGTCATTCCGGGCGATTCACAATGCAGTTCGCCACCAAGACTTTTGCAATGGAGAGTCCGTTTTTCAAGTAGACTTCGGCAAAACACGGCCCCGGCCGAATCATAGACTCATTGAGCATATTTGTTATAGGGGTTGGGGTATAGCGTTCTGCCGCCTTACAAAAAAAATACCATTTATTGATAAAACGAAAAGAAAACTGCAAACATAACACTCGAATCATACACTTACGAAACTACCGGTACTGACCGGAAAACGTATAATTTCAAATGTCCCGCGCTGCGAATTTGTCGACCATCTTCCACAACGCATGGGGAAAATGAACTCATGAACTTTCCGTGGCAAACTCTTGGTGGCACACTGCATTGTCAATCGCCCGAATTGTCAAGTGTCGACGTGCTGTTCACAAGCTTGTGACCTGACTTGGAAATGGATGATTTTTTTTTATTTTTTTTTTTACTTTTGCTTCGCATTAGCTGAAAATAATGGGCTGCTTATGACAAGATCTTGTAGTTAGATCGACCGTAGAGTTTTCCTTCTTGATTGGTTCTGTATTTTGACCCACGATAGGAATGCATTAGTCATAGAGCATGCAAAGGATTGGTTTGATATTGTGATGCCATTCCTGCGATTTGCTTCTGATCGTATCACACACCATAAAGCAAATCAGCTTCGACTCATTCGCTCATCTGCATTTCCCATTTATAGAATGTGGTTCCAACGAGTATTCCTGCTTACCGGGGAATCTCTGTATCAATGCAAGCAAAGTTTGCGACGGGAAGCCGGACTGTCCGGAATACGACGATGAGTTCCACTGTGGTAGGTTGGCTCGTTTACTCGTAATCTCGTTTCGGCGGCTGATAACAACCTTTACCGGTGATTTGTGCTGCCCCCCCCCCGGGGGGGGCAAGCCGATATGCCTGGTTGAACCTGGCTGAAGGCATCAATCAAGGATTGATCATCATGCAATCAATCATCATGCATTCACGAATGGTTATCAATTAAGTACAGCAAGAATAGATGAGCAAAGAAGTTGTGAGCGAATTACATTCAAGAAATGGTTTGAAATAACTGGTAACCTTTCGGGTTTTTTTTTTATTTGGCAGGTGTCTGTGGAATTGGCAATTTTAGTTGCGGCGATGGAACATGTCTGCAAGAGATGCATATGTGTGATGGCGGAAATCAGTGCTCTGATGGTTCAGACGAGCAAAAATGCGGTAGGATATGGCATCCAGAATAGTTCATAGAGGAAAGAATAGTTGGTGATCCGAAAACTCTACGAATGCACACACACAAAATGTTGCACTTTAAACGTTCCGGATCCAATGTGATCTGAAATCTAGGTCAGATTTGGCCTTACACGATCTTATCTGGGTAAAAATGACCCGAAAAGTGATTCAGAGCAGTGCCGTATAGTGTGTCAGGTAAAATCTTACAGAATCTGACCCGGGATGTAAAAAGAGCATGGCACCTCGAGTTTTTTTTTTATTTCGATCGATTACTGAAGGGGAAAATTAGGTGGAAGACAAAATACCTTTACTTCCATTCGCTATCCCACCAGTGCTAACTGTCAGCGGTATAACTCAGAAGAGAGTCGCAGACATCTTTTTCAGTGGAACTTTCTTTTTTTCTCGGCACAGAACCTTGTGGTGAGCTCATCATCGACCTTACATCCAGCCCCCGTTCACTCACGTCGATCGGGTACCCCAGCTCCTATCCTTCCAATTCGATGTGCTACTGGCACCTGAAAGCGGACCCAGGCTATGACGCTCTGGTCGTGTTCCACGACTTCTACACAGAGGAATTCCAGGACGAGCTGTACATGGGTAACGGCTCGATGTGGCTGGCTAACGCAACGGGCGAGCGTTATCCCCAGAGGGTAGCTTTAAATTCGTACATGTGGCTTGTGTTTGTTTCGGACTTCATATACAATTATCGAGGTTTTGAAATCAGCGTGCTGCAAGTGGAGTCGGGTGAGTGACATTATGAGTAACGAGATTTCGTTATTTTGGCCCCAAAAATAGCTCTGCTTCCGATTAGATAGCATTTAAAAAAAAAAAAAGGTAGTTAGGTAGGGACATTTTTTGCGCCAATTTTTTTTGTGTACGATCATGGAGGCGTCTGCGTGAAGTCAAGCTAGGGTTAAAAGGTAGACATTGATGGTTTTAGGTGGTTTTTTTTCTTATTTTTCCCATACAAAAATTAGGGTAGGGGCTGTCAAAATAGGGTAGGTATGGAAACCGGAAGCAGAACTGTTAAATTTCTTTTGGCGTTACCAATATTCTGAATTGTACTTGATGAACAATGTTGTGGTTTGAAGCAACACCAATAATACGCCGTGGTCGTGCTCAGAGAGGTTCCGTACACTAAAATGGATTATCAGCGCTGATCTATGCAATGTATGGAGACGGAGTGGAAAATGTGAAGAAAAGTTTGCATATTAAAGGTACAAGGGGCATTACATTTACATGTCAGTATAAGGTGAGTTAAAAATTAAGAACAAAAAAAGGCATCCCAACTGGTAGGACGAACTTTTAATGAAATTTTGCTTTAGCGCTTTCAAATTCTAGAATATGAAAGCCCAGTCATTAGGGTCCCTCTTAGTACAAGAATCCTTCATATCATACATATACTTTTCAAGTTACGGCATTTTGAACAGAAAAGCCGTTTTAAAGTGCATTCCATGGATCACAGAAAGAGTAAGAGTTGTTTCAACAAAACGAGAACAATTCTCATATAGGACATGTACGGATGCGTGTGAATTGTTCTCGTTTTGCTCAAATAACACATAACAGGTTTTTTTTTGTGATCCGTAGAATGAACTTTAAAACGGTGTTTTGTGTTCAACATGCCGTAACTTATAGTGATAACAAAATATGCTCGTACGCGTGTCCACACCATGAGAACCATTTCTAATTTGGTTGTTCTAGCTTCTTGTAGTGAGGGAGAAGTTGCCTGCAATGGCACCGATATGTTGATCTGCATTCTGGAGACACAAGTTTGCGACAGTAGGGGCGACTGCCCAGACGCTACGGACGAGGAATACTGTGGAGGTAGGGTAAAAGTATACAGATTTCATACCCTTCCATGTCTTTAACGGAAATCACCAAGCACAAAGCCAAAAGGTCACTCAAGCTGGCGAAGGAAAGAAAAATGCAACTTAAGAGAGACCAAAATCTGTTCACAGCTCTTTGGCCACATTGGTAGCATAAAATGGTTTCTGTAAAGGGATTCCACCAAAGTGAGATAGTACGAGAGAAGAAACCTGAGGAATATTTTACCGTTCCTGGTCTTGGAGGTCAAACCGTAGTGCTCGATTCTGTGTTACAGGAAGCAGCAAATTGGAAAAATAAGTGTGGTATCTGACACACAATGGCTAAATCAAGAAATACCAGAGGCCACAAAGGCCTAATAGGTTCTTGATACTTAGTTGGTTCTCCTAAATACTCCGCAGGGGAGTTTTAACAGGAGGCCAGAAACACCGGGGCAAACCCTTTATCTTAGCGATAAGTGTTACTGGGTTCTTTTACGTGCATTAATTATTGCATGACACAACGTTCCGTCCGAAGGACGAAGCAACAATGGTTAAGTGCCTTGTTTAAGGGCACAAGTGGCTAGACCTACGTTCGAACCCACATCTGCTGCCTCTGAAACACCAGATCATGAGTCCGGTGCCCGGTGATAACCGCCAGGCCATGACACGCCATGACACAAGTAGCCGCAGCGCTAGGCCTTCTTTATCCCAGGTATATGTTCAATTCTGTTATCCATTTGATCTCATATTCTGGAAGACATATGCGGTGAGACACTGATCGACGTTCCACTGAACAAACTTTACGACCTGACGTCCCCACTGTACCACCTTGGGACCTACCCAGCCTTCACCGACTGTGTCTGGCAACTCCGGACGGGCACAAGCCGGGACGAGAAGATCATACTGGACATCCTCGACTTCCACCTGGAGCAGAATTTCGACTACCTCCACCTTGGGGTCGGCAACGACAGCAGTACGGAGCCGGTGACAAGCCTAACGGGGAGCACCAAGATTCTCGGGGTGCAGTTCGAGAGCGATCGGGTGTGGCTTCGGCTCCAGACGGACCAGCTCGTCTCGGATAAAGGCTTCCACTTTACCTTGAAGGCTGTCGGTAACCGATTAATCACTACATTCTTTTTCAGTGAAAAAGGAACCTCCCCCAAAAAACTTCAACAGGGACCTTCACCTGAATTATACTGAAAAAGTAGGCCTAGTCCACGAAACAGATCTTTACAAATGCATGTTACAATTGTACGTATTGTATGCAATTAGGTACCCTTTTGCGATTTTGAATGACTAGGGTATTTAGATGTCCATTACAGACCTAATGGACTGTCTTTGTTTTGTCGTGACAATGCTACAGTATCTGTCTTAGAGACCATTGGGGGTCACATCATGTGCATATTGAACATGTGCATGAAGAAACTTCCCTGAACAGCAACCATGGACCTATACAAAAAAAAAAGTCTTTGGTAGTACAGGTTAAACAACTATCATACCGGCCGGTCCTTCACTGAAAAAGTATGTTTTCGGATCCCGGCCCTTTGGGGTGCCTTCTGATCAGGTCTGCAAATAGCTCGACAGCACCGTCGGTTGTTTTTTTTTTTTTTTTTTGGGGGGGGGGCCTTTACCGTAGGTTTCAGACTTGTAACAGGTACCTTCCGAAACACAAAAGAGGCCTAAGTTTTGTTGAACAACATGGATTTAGGCTTTATTTGTTTTCTCACCCCTTTTGGTGACCTATCGACTACATTTCCGATTTTCTCACCCCTTTTGGTGACCTATCGACTACATTTCCGATTCTTCGCAGAAAAAAAGACTGTTTCCGGCTGCAATCCACGGTGTATGCTGCCAGAAGGCTCCGTGCTCTGCCTGCAACCCGAAGCGTTCTGTGACGGCTTTGCTGACTGCTACGACAAAAGTGATGAGCATGAAGCGTGTGGTAGGTACACTTGAGTTCCGTAAAGAGCGACTAGTTTGGAGGGGGGATTTGACGTCGGCCAACGCAACCATTTTGTGCCCAAGTGTCTGTGTGTAAGAGTTTTGTTGTCAGTATGGGTATCAGCGGCATCGGCTGACCTGGCTGGCTACATCTTTAAAGAGGTTGTGGAATGCTCAAAAACATTTCCGTCATTTTTGGATATATGTAGCCTAAGGTGAGATGAAATAAAAACGACTATTGTGTCTGTCATGAAATGAGTACAAAAGGTACTTTTGAGAGCTATTTTTCAGGTCCTGTTTCTACCCGAACGTGCAATTTGTGTAAACGTTGTCGTTGCGGGCAGCAAACAAAACACAGTAAATCGTGACGTAATAATCAGGACTCGTATATGCTACTCTGCATCGGCAGTCCTGTTTATAACGTCACGATTTACTGTGTTTTGTTTGCTGCCTGCAACGACGACTTTATACACAAATTGCACGTTCTGGTCGAAACAGGACCTGAAAAATAGCTCTCAAAAGTACCTTTTGTACTCATTTCATGACAGACACAATAGTCGTTTTTATTTCATCTCACCTTAGGCTACATGTACCCGAAAAATGACGGAAATGTCTTCGAGCATTCCACAACCTCTTTAATGTTGGTGCTTGCAATAAATTTCCAGTGTGATAACAACCGTCCAGTAAGACATGCGTAGACCAAGTACCATCTTGGTAACTTTCACATACTGGCTGAGTTTCTAAGTAAGATTTTCCGTAAGCCCACCAGAGCGGGCATCAAACCGCACTGACCTGGCTGGTAATTGATCTAACGCGGTATAATCGCGTCAACGCAGCTTGTGAAATATTGTCCAATTACATTTCATACAAATGGACGCGGAACGCGCAAAATCTGAGACAAACAAAACTCAACGTACAAAAGTTCCATAGGGTTGTCTAAGGGGCGTGGCTAACTCGCAAACGGCGATAGGTCAATACTTCGAATTTTGAAAATGCACAAAGCGCGCGAAAGCGCGCGAAAGCGCGCGAAGCCGTATCACCTCGGTAACAGGATTTACTAGAGATTTACAGGATTGTGTATACCTTCCATTATACATGTATAATCACCCTAAAGGGGCAGTAGTTACAATAAGAAATATCTATTAAATACAATTATCTATCTATCTTGCTCCTTGTATCTCAATTCTCTCCGGTAGGTAATATCAGTTGCGGCTCGGACCAATACTTGTGCGCAGGCAAACGCCAGTGCATACTACACGAGTCTCTCTGCGACGGCGAATTGGACTGTGAGTTCGAAGATGACGAACATAATTGTGGTGAGTTCTTACCGTCGTACAATTCGACCTTTGACCAGTCGAATATAAATATCTTGTCCCCGGACTTCTTCGTAATGTTTGATACTGTACCTTTAAATTCTCCTCACTAAGGTCAGTGTTGTTATATCAAGTGATTCGCAGCAAACTCTTGTTGTTTACTTAGGGAAGCCCTATTTAAGGTTTGCCCTAAAAAATATTGTGATATGATCAGCAGTGTATACTACATTGGGCTAATTCTTGTTCAATTATTCCTAAAGTGCCGGCCATCACATATTCGGGATATTATCCCAAGCAGACATAATAGAAATGTTCAATTTTTCCAAAAGTGCCATCAGAAATTCGGAATATTATCCTAAACAGACATTATATTATTCAAATGTCGCAAATAACATACTCCTTTCCACTTTACTGTTTTATTTTAATTATTCCCTCATTTCGCCCAGATGTTCGTGGTCGTCCCGATGACTGCGTGGGCGCCCTCATCGACGGGAAGCTCCAAATCAAATGCAACCAAGGCTGGAATACGACTACTCTCAACCAGATAGCTTCTATCACTTCCATTTTGTGAGTGTCTCGTATGCTTTATCATCCCATACGCTCAGTTCAGGCATACTGTAGACAGTGCTTTTATTAAGTCGGGATTTGGAAAACCAATATTCTCTAAAACGTGGCTTCGTATCAGGGTGGGGTTCGTCGACGTAGCCCGGAATTCGAAAGCGGCGAATCGCACATTGCCGCGCGTGCGTCGGCAATGAGCATGCCAAAAAAAAAACAAGATGTTTGAATATGTTTAGTTTTCGCCCGGCCTGGATTTTAACTTTACTTCTTTGTTCTTTTCTTACGTTTTTCATATTCAACAGAGAGCTCACCGGGGGTAATGCGACAACACTGGAGGAAGGCATGTTCAAGAGATTCCCCAAGCTTCGCACACTGTAAGAACAAGTGCTTACGTTCAGAAAGACTCTGATTTGACCTATCGCCGTTTGCGAATTATCCACGCCCCTTAGAGAACCCTACGAAATTGTGTACGTTAAGTTATGTTTGTCTCAGATTTTGCGCGTTCCGCGTCCATTTGTATATCGTGTAATTGGACAATATTTAACAAGCTGCATTGACGCGACTCTAACGCGATAAGTTAAGCAATTTTCTGTGGTGGCACCAGCAGGCTCGCGCGTGTCGTGCTCAGGTAGTACGCACGCACTTCGTGCTCCTTCGACTAATCCGGATCGTAAGTGTGACATCATTTCAACTCGAACCACGCCCACTGCACACGGAGTAAACATCTGAACCATTGGAACCGGAAGTAGTCGAAAGTGGCATTTTTAGCCAATAGGCAAACAAAGCATGAACATCATAGGGTTACCAATATGCGCGCGCCTCGTCTGTAAGAGCGCGTGCGGCATGTGCATGAGCGTAGCAACACCCGCAATTCGCAGAAATGGCTTCTAAATTTGTTCGGCGAATTTAATTTCACTATTAATATTATTTAGACCGTGTGTCGCACACTCATACTTTAATTGATCGTCATGACCGCAACTGGCGTAAATTTACACCAACTCAATGTTGCCACCTGTTGAATGCACGCCCAGATGGTAGGATTATAAAAAAAAGGCAGACTTGAGTCAAGTCTATGACACATGTTTTAATTATTGTAATAACGTCGAAAAGTGCGTTTATCTTCCTACATTATGAAAAAGAACGCATTGGACAGACTAAAAACGACATGCACAGAATGACACAACTAACGTACCAAACCCCTCCACGTATCGACTTGTTGATTTTATATTCATTCGTGTTGTAATGTGCAGATCCTTAAGGAGTAACAACATATCAGAAATCAAGCTAAGTGCTTTTGCGGGACTGAGTAATTTAACTACACTGTAAGTACGATCCGTTTTCATTATGAAGCGCGAGTATTGTGAAAATAACTTTGTATCTATATTCTTTTTTAAAATTGCGGGAAATGGTACCTAGGGGACATTCCCATAGGGTTGTGCACACAATTTGTCTAACTTTAATAACCACTAACCCCAATTTCCCTTATACTTCCGCGAATTTAGGTATACATTGTACTATGTTCTGGACCAAGTGCAATCGAACTATAGCTTAATTTTGCCTCTCATTAGGAGTTAGGGGGACACTGACATTTCTCCGTGATGTAGGCCTATCTTGTTTCCCTAAGGTATTCTTATGACGACAAAATGTCTCCTTAAGCCTACCGTGATCAACATGAGTTAATGGTTCATTATAATACATCAACAAACTACAATCAGACCGCCAAAATGTTAAAACACCGAATTCGTTGGACAACAGTAACGGCTGGTAATTTGTCTCCGATCCAGGGACCTTTCTGAAAACAACATCGGCGAATTGGACGGCGGAGTTTTCAGCGAACTGACAATGCTGAATGTAATGTGAGTAGGCCTACATGTACACCATTGAATACCAAGTAATAACACATAATTATCTATACCCATCAGATCATCAGGAAAAAAACAGAGGTAATATGTCTACTGAACAAATCTCTTTGTATTGCAAAAGGTACAAGAAAATGTTCCGATTCGTGTTAGTTGGCTCCAGTTTTGTCGATACAATTCATATTTACTGTTGGTCACTGCACTTTATTGTTTCAGGGGAATGCAACTGGTGCCACTTCAACTTATCAGAGGCCGAGCTTTTGAAGGCTTAAAAAATCTCCGAACATTGTAAGTACAGAAGACTGACCCAATGTTTTGTGCCGTGTCCAATTTTTTCCTTGGTTTCATCATCAAAAGCAAATAGCAGTCAAACGAATAAGCTTTATTCAACTTCACCAAACCTGTAGATCCTTCGAAGGCAAAATAATGTCGTAATCTGGCGTATAATGTTTGGCGACCTCTCTTGCTGAAAGCGCAAAGAAAATGGCTGATTGTCTTTGTGATGTCTTTAATGCGTGTCGTTTAACCTACAGGATACTAATGACAGACGTCAGCACAGCAGGAACCAACGGTTTCTCCCAGAGAGTCTCAGCTACCAAAGTCGAAGATGGAGCACTTACAGACCTCATCTCACTTCAAACCGTGTACGTTTTTTTCACGTTATATCTTTATCCAGGGAAGCCGTATTATCTTACTGATCTCCGTCCTCGGATGCTTATAAAAAAAATCTTGGACTTTGTATTTATTATTTTGTTTAAATTGTATGTACTTGCTTCGTATTATCTATATAAATAGATACGTTGATGACCATCGCCTGTGCTGTGACTTCAGTTCAGTGCTTCCAGCTGAAGAAAAGTGCGTCAACACCCAGCTTCAGTCACCGCTGTTCAACTGCGGCCGGCTGATGCCCAACACTGTCCTGCAGGTCTTTATGTGGATCCTGGGCTTTAGCGCCCTCATCGGCAACCTGTTGGTCATCGCCTGGCGGATCCGGGAGGACAGCGGCAAGGGCAGCAAGTACGTGCACTCGTTTCTGGTGCTGAACTTGGCCATGTCCGATTTCCTGATGGGAGTGTACATGGTGATCATCGCCACCGTCGACGCCATCAAGAAAGAGGAGTACTATCTGACGGCTACGGAGTGGAGGAACAGCGCCCTCTGTAAGGCAGCAGGGGTCATTTCAGTGTTGTCCTCGGAAGCCTCCGTGTTCTTCATCACCCTGATCAGTGTGGATCGCTACCTGTGCATCGTCCATCCGTTCAGCCGACTTCGCCTTAAAGAGAAGTCAGTCTGGGTATCCGTAGCCTCGATTTGGATGGCATCGCTGTTGGTTAGCCTTGTTCCCACTGTTCTAGTTACCGACGACTCCGACATCTACGGGTTATCGGATGTCTGCATCGGGCTGCCATTGCTAACCCGACCTGTTGATTACACATTCACCAAGGCGGATGTCGGGTCGTCTTTGGATAACGATACTTACCTCATCCCGCAAGCGGTCGGTAGCCAACCCACGTGGTCCTACTCCATTGTGCTCTTTCTCGGCGTCAACCTCGTCTGTTTCCTCCTCGTGACCATTTGCTACGTCGCCATCTTTGCTAAGGTCAAGAGGTCGATCCAGCGCGTGAAGCGCCACCAGTCACGGAGGGATGAAGAGGTCAAGATGGCATCCAAGATGGCCGTCATCGTTGGTTCCGATTTCCTCTGCTGGATGCCTGTCATTATTCTTGGCATCCTGTCCCAGACCAACCTGATTGAAATCCAGCCTGATGCCTACGCCTGGTTGGTCGTCTTCGTCCTGCCCATCAACTCCTCCCTCAATCCTTACCTGTACACCATCGTGACAGCTGTCAGCCGCAGACGTCACGAAGCCAACTCCACATCATCAAAGAACTCAACACACAAGCCCAAAGTCTGCAGCATTCCCCACATATCGCTGGAGTATAGGGGAGAGTCAACCCTCACCACCATGACTGCGCCTGACAGTTTTGTCTACTTGGGATATGACCCAAACGATCCGAAGAATAGTGGAATGTAATCTATAGGCAGCATAGAGAGCTCTGTCACTTGTTAACATGAGAACGTACATTAGCATAGTGTTAGAACTGAAATGTATTGAAGCAAAGTAAACATGACGTCGGAGACGGACAGCCACGGATTTTGCAGAAACCTTAAAAACACCAATAAAACACTAAAACAAAAGTAAATACAAAGCATGTTTCATCATGCATATAGTTCATGAAAAAGGTTTTGCTTAACATCAATACTACATTGGGAATTCTATTCTAGAGAAAGTTAATCATCATCCCTTCCTGGGAGTTGAACTATCTAAGAATGTATCCAGGAGTTAACACATCACCCACCAGCATCATAGGACTCTTGAGGTGGAACCTCTGGAATTGTTCATCTAACACCATCGCCTTTAAAACACTTGTCAGACCAAGACTTGAACATTGCAGCCCAATTTGGGGCCCTCACCAGAAAGTTTATTTTGAAAATTGGGCAAAACGTTTTAAGGAGGGCACCAAGATTCATTAAAAGTACCGGGGTGCACGGCGGCATCACCGACTTACTTCACGACATGACCTGGGAATCACTACAAATCAGACGGGAAAAGGCTCGGCTTATGATGATCTACAACAAGACTTATTATCACCCCATCAAATCAGACAATCTTCTTCTTATCAAGAATAACACATCATCCAAACCAACAACTCGTACATCAGCCTGAGACACACGAACTCAATTACGAAGTTATCCGGTCGAACAAAGACTGCTACATCTATTTATTACACCCAAGAACTATTCCAGTTTGGAAAGCACTCCACCCTCGCACCAAAGAAGAAAATGATGAAGCCACATTTAATTGCCCGATCAACGGGCTGTTGAAAAAGGAGGTACTTAGGCGACGTATGATATGGACTTTACGTTGATAGAGACCTGAGGCGATGTGCTAAGTACCAGACAAGACCAGACATGACGAGGAAAATGTCTTATATTTTACTCACTTCTCCTACCAACGAAACGGAACTTACTTGACTATCAGTAATATTCTTAGAATAGATTGCTAGGTCATTTAAAGCTTAATTTATTGATAAAAACGATTTGCATATAGTAGGTTTCAAGTAGCGCATACAACTTCATAAAAAAATGTATATACATAAACAAAACATGTTAAAATGTGAAAAGGTGGAGATTGTAAATGTATATTTTACTCTATTGATGTTGTTTGTTTGTGTGCTCAACCGCGCTGACCATTCGCGCAAAAAGGAGCGTTGTAACAGTGCTCTCAGCCTTTTGATTTTTAAAAAAATTAGGGCAAGGTTGAAAAACTAAAATTTCCTTTCCTTCAAAAATTAATGATAACTCGATGTAATAATATGTTCCTTTTCTGTTATTCCTTTTGCACAACATACTGTAAATAGGAGATGTATCTACATTTAATTTGAACGTATACAAATTCTGTACTAAAATGTGTAAATGAAAAAATTCTAATATCCTCGGAATGCTGATAGGCCATCCAATAAAACTCGGATCTCGGAGCTTGCATGAAATTCGCTTATTAGTAGCTGGTTATTTTTTTGTTTCATGGCCTGTGTAAGTCTAAGTGTAATTTGACGTTAAGTGGATGCACCCGAAATTGAACCTAAAACCGAAATTGGAAAAAAAAACTGAATCCCGGAAATGATCAAGGAAGTGAATGTGACAATGTGGTAAAATTAATTTCTTATCTCTTATCAGAATATAGAACTTTCAGTTCATATCGATGTCTTCGAGAATGAGGAAATAGAGTGAAGGAAAATACGAACATTTACCAAACGAATGTAAAAGATAAACCATCACGGACCAGCGCAATATTAACAATTGCGGTTGACTTGGCAATGTATGAACGTTTATAATTTCAGATATTTCCTCAATGCCTATATTTATATTTTCTTTTTATCCTTGACGGCATAGTTCATTTGGTCATAACCAGGAAACGAAGTGCTGAAATGAAAATTAACAGGACTATACAATCGTGTATGCAGGCGTAACCAGTTCTTAGTTTTCTTTTAGCCCCGCTGTGGATGAACACAATAGTGTCAAATGTTCAGAAGGCATCTGGATATAGGCCTAAACATGAAGAGATTTCTTCCGTGAAGAATCAGGGGAACGCGAAGCCGGTGACATGCACATCACATAACTGGACATATTCTGACTAATTATTACCTATTATGGCTGTCAAAAGGTACCAACCGAAACATGGGTTGAACGCGACTCTGTTTTTGACTGAAGCCGAACTACAGCGTTTAGTAGCCGTTTGTTTTTTCTTGTTGGTAAGCGGAAGATTCGTGGAATCACAAACTCTGACATGGAGACATACCCCATTGAATGCATCTTACGAAGCTTCCACAGGCGAGACACTGCAAATGAAATGCTTCGTCTCGACGTTTCTCCTATACGATGTTCGATGGTTGCAGATCCGGAAAACCTCGCAAGTGGTGCTCTACACAGCACGTGAAGGAAAGGTCGTGGACAACTCTCGTCTGTCGTTTTTGAGGAAAAATCTCAACAGCAACTATCGTACATATGCTTTTTCAATAAGAAATGTTATACCGTCAGACCTTGGACAGTACTCTTGTTGCGCGTGGTGGTGGGGGGGATTGGCATACAGTTGTGGCTACGCAAACGTCCAAGAAAAGGTGAAAATCTTCCCTCGAGAAAACCCAATCTGCTCGAGAAACGACACTGGAATGTCCCCAACCAACATCACCGTTCGGTGTGAGATAGCGCTAGGCAATCCTAGAGTCGCCATAACGTGGACGATTGGATCTACAGGTGAGGAGATAACGGCAAATGAGTACCAGTCAGAAACGGAGGAGCAGCTCGTCGGTGCCTCGTTTTATCTAGAGGAGCGACTCTGGGATCGGGTGTTGGTCTGCACCGTCACCAGCCGCGCGTTTCCTGGCTTGAACCGGACCTGCTCCATCGGTCCCATAATCGAGACGAAACCCACTACGACCTTGGTCTCGTTTACAACTCATCAAGAACACACAGAAGAACCAACCAAACTACCTGCAAACATTCAAACGGCTACTCACACACCAGACTTACAGCTCACTCCAACAGTTTCGGCTTTGCCTGACGTGAACGCCGGCAAATCTAACAACTCTGGCGCCGTAGCAGCTGCTGTGATTATTCCTGCACTCTTTATTTCATTTCTCGTGATAACTATTTTGAGGCGCAAGTGGTTGCTAAGAAACCAGGCTCGTCAGCGAGCGTTGAGGGCAAGGTCTGCTATTGATAAAGGCAGCGATGAAGATCGAAATGGTATAGTCGTTATCCCGTATGCGGTGTCATGTATTCCTACTCGCACAACCTGCAAAATGATCGACAGTTCAGCGGGCAAGGCAAGTGGGACTAACGGGGAAGGAACGCGCGTGTCCCCGTACGCTATTCGCTTAGGCCTCGCGAGGGAATCGGCCGTGTACGCACAGATACCCGACACCACAACTGAAAAAGGTGTTACGGGTCGCTGGTCGAGCTCAAGCTACGAACCGGTGTGCCAGAACGAAAATGAAGATCAAAAGTCTACGGAGGACGACGTCTACGAAGATATTGGCAGAAACGGTTATGACACTGTCAAGAGCATGGCCCATCTTCAGGAAACTACATCGACTGAAACCTCAAGCAAGATGACAGGTAACACTGACAATCCAGAATCCGATGAATTGAGTGAGGCATCTGATGAAGGAATGGTTGATAATCCAATTTATCAATCTCAAGACGAACTTGAAAAACTTGGAATGTGATACATGTACATGGTTTTTAACAAGGGTCGCTCGTGTGAGTATTGGCACCACATTACATAAAGTTTACTCCCTAATTGATTAAATGTGTCTATAATTATATTGACAAAATCTGTTTCCAGATTGCTTCATGCATGTACATGATTTGCCAAAAAGGTAATCAAAATATACAGTCTGTGTATTTGGAGACATCAACATGTAGTCATTATAATTACCGAGCTAGTACAACGCTCGTTGCACTAGTCCTATGTGCACTGGTCCTACGTGCGCAGGTCCTATGCGAGCAGGCCCGACGCACGGAGGTCCTATGCATGCTTATGTACTCGGGTCCTACACACTTACATGTACATGTAGGTCCTACGCTCATGCTTAATGTGCACATCAATAGGGTTAACAAAATGCTTTTAAGAACACGCACGATGAGCGCCAGAGCGTGGGACCACATCTTCAGGAGACAAATGATTGTAATTGTTCCAAAAAGAGACTTTTAAATGCACTTCCTTTTATTGCAATGTATTGTATACTAATCTAGAAGGTTACATACCTAGACGTACGTACGTAAGAATACCTGTACCATAAATGTGTGGAGAAAATGATTCCAAATTCAGCTTTATAGCTGGCTTGGCGTAAATGTAGTGCACCAAAACTTGTACATGTACATGTACTAGGCCTAATTATTTTAATGTGTTTCGTCCTATTTATACCATTTACTCGGATTGCATAAGATGTGTATGTTGAAATATTTCCTTAAACCCTCAAACTTAGGGCCGGGCTATTTGACCATCACTTAGCCGGGGGGAAGAGAGGGGGGGGGTATTCCGCTGCGCGGCAACCCGTGGTCCGATTTTTATGTTTCCGGTATCAAAAGATGCACAAGGCTTGAGGCTAAAAGTCAGAACAGCTCAGGCCCAAAAAAAACTTTTTTTAAAGCTATCGCGCACAAAGTTCAGGGATTCCGCCCCCCCCCCCCCAGCCCCTTTAGGGTCAAGTGGGTAGCTGTACATTTGAGGCTTAAGCCATTTCTTAAAAAAAATAACAGGACGAAATAAAATATTTTCCGACGATTAAAAGGTCACTGACATCAAGAGGCACCAAAACGCATGCATTTTTCACCATATTGCTTTTAATGTTGTTGATGGCTAACAATAAGATCTGATCCCTACTCATCAAAAGACGAAAATGTGTTAATAACTTTGCTGACAAGATGAAACAAACTTACATGTGCATTGTACAACATCCACTTACAAATATACAGTTATAGTTAATTATGTGCAAGAATTATTTCTTAACAAGAAATTAAAAAAAAAAATATTAGCAGCAACTTTCTTGTGAATTTCTTCAATTGTATTCTTCATTTTGGTCCCAAAACGAAACCCCCCAAAAACCTACACGAAGCATGATTACAGTTGCCAACTGAAACAACAACTGCAGTAAGTTTTTCAAAGTGAAAGGGTAGTAATTTGTTGACCCCGTGGTGCGTAACATACACAACGGACTAATAGTTCGCAGGACTTAAATTGGCTTCCTACAAGAAGCTCTTAGCGTTGAAGGTATACTCTGTAATACCACTGCCCTCTATGTTTTGACTAAGCTTAGTCCATGCATCCAGACCAACATCGTACACCTGTCCGTCTTCCACGTCAATTCTGCTGTACATACACGCTCCATTGACCATAAGATAAATGCGCCGCCCGATGCGAAACGGACGCAAGTCGCTCTCCGGGACCAGTGCCTGGTCGTGGGTGTTCACGCGGTCGATGGTGTAGGACTGACCCTGTCCGTGGTCATAGGTTGTGACCTCATGAACAACAGGGCAACGGTTCCACTTCTCCTTTTTACCGAGTTTGCTCTCGACAGCGCGGTGGGTGACCAGCAGGCAGGTCCCATCAAGTCGAACCAGGCTTCCAGGAGAGCTAGTCTCCACGCCGCTACACACCTGCCAGGTATTCGTGCCTGGATCAAAACACGATAGGTGCTGGGCCCCATCGACAACATCAGCCGCACTGACAAAGATCCTATCTTCGTGAGCAACTGCCGACGGGTACATCCCTGAAGCCTCAGTCGCCATGGCAGCCACTGTCTGCCATTTCCCTCTCGATAGATCGTAGCGCTCAGCGGTTTCAAGCCACTCCCCCTTTTCGTTTTTCCCGCCAATGGCGTAGATGTATCCGTTGAGGTGCGCCAGGGCCGTGTGGCTTCGCTCGACGCGCATTGAGGGTAGCCGCGTCCATTTGTTGGCAACCACGTCGTAGGCGTAGACAAAGTTTTGCGTCTGTGACTTGTGATATTCAGTGGACACGCCTCCTGTTTACATGGAAAAATACGTCTTTCTTAATATCCATTCGTGAAGTTTATGTAAATGATTGACACTACTAAGGTTGAGTCTGATGCATTAACGGTAAAACAAAAGTGTCCTTGAAATGGATGTGTGATCAGAAGTACAAAAATGTCAGACCTGATTCGTGCCCTGGTTAACGCGATTTGGCACCGGACTCTAGAATACTTTCCATTTCATAATCATCTTAGGCTTTATTGAACAAAATAATAAAGAACGACTTACCGACAAGAAATATTTTTCCAGCAACGGCGATAATGGAGTGGTGGGAGACGCCATCAAACGGCAGCTGGGCAAACCTCTTGAGTGGGATCCACTCCTGCCGGTGACTGCAGAAGTACCGAGCAAAACCCAAGGTTGTCTGGCCACCTATGGCTAGTAACGACTGCCAAGACAAAATAGGATGGGCTGAAGTTCATTTTCTTAACCAGCAACTTTTATGTAAGGGGGTTCATTTGAAGAAGACAGTTGGCGAAGCATTGGGAATTAATATGGATCCAGAACTACAGTAAACTCTGGCTACGTCGGCACTCTCGGGACCCGAGAATTTGTGACGGCTTACGCGAAGCCGACAGGTGCTGTAAGTTGTCAGTTTGCCGACTTACATGAATGGCCGACTTGAGCGATTTGACGAGTTGTACGATGTCGGTTTAGCCGGAGTTTACTGTAATTTCAAATCCTCTTTATCCTATTTCCTCCAACGCCCAAATTGCCATGCCCGTTACTCCCTTGTGCAGGGCCCAGGTAATAAACCAAAACAAAGATCAGATTACCTTCGTGGAAACACGAGGGGCGAACAGCTCGGGGTGACGATTGGCAAGTTGTCCACTGACGGGACTATGCAAGGCGATGTGCTGTATGAGCTGATCGAAGAGAGACTTGACCTGCGACACCGCCTGGAGGCTGGAGTCGATCTGATCCACCAGGTGCTGGGAGGACACTAGGCCCAGCCGAACCTTCTTGAGCAGGGAGGAGGAGTGGTGGAGGCGGGTGGAGGGGTCGTAGTGAAGCCAGTTGACCACTGCTTTCAGGACCTTAGTGAACAAAAAATCAAGACAAAGAGAAAGTACTGCCGAAGTAAGTAGACAATTGGATGAAGGTTCTAAACGATTCTGTTTTCACTGCAACAAGTGCAAAAACCATTTAAAATTGCGAATGGTGAGTTTGCAGGGTTTTGTGAACGAAACCATTAAAAAGGAAGTTAACTCCTTATAAACCCTTCCTTGAACCTCCATCTAAAACCCAAAATCCTCCAAAACTCATGCTTTAACCACAGGCCACAAATCCAGCGCCCTTAACCACGAGGCCTTGCATAATAAAATACACCAACCTCAACTTCACTGGCAACCGCCAAGTCGTCCCTCATCAGGAACTGCCCCAGGTTGTGGGCCGTCATGTGCTCCAGGAAATCCGACGTAAGCGCCACCTCCCCGAAGTTCCTAGCGATGTGGTGGTCAGCTGTCCGCTTGAGCCTGTCCAGCCCGTAGTTGCCCGCCATGGACGAGATCTTCAGGTAGTCGTCGAAGGAGAGCTGGTCCTCGGTGAAGCAGCGGCCGACAAAGTCAATGCAGCCCTCAATGGCCAGGTCTACGTGGAGGTGGCAGGCCGAGGCCAGGACCTCGAAGACGTTGTCAACGGTGAGGTCAAGCTTGGCCGTGTAGGCAAATTCCAATAAGATCTGGGTAAACATGAGTAAAGACAAACATGGGTGAAATTATGGTCCGATAATCGACATTTTCTATTCATCATATTTTTATCAATTTTGAACTGAATCTGCATTTAGCTGAGGAACGTTGTACAGCTGAAATTGTGTTTCCAAAGTTTAGGCCACAAAAAAATAGTTCTGCTTCCTATTACATTGCATTTGAAAATAGGGTTGGAAAACATTTTTGGGGGCACCTTTTTTTTTGTGAACTATATATGGAGGCATCTGTGTGTAATCAAGGGTAAAAGGTAAAAATTGATGGTTTTGGGTATTGTTTCTCATTTTCCCATAAAAAAAATTAGGGTAGGGGCTGTCAGAATAGGGTAGGAATGGAAACCGGACGTAGAACTTGGGTTGGGGGCATTATTTCTTTGCATTGGTTATTTTTTTTCTTCAAATTTTGAAATTGAAACAAACATTGCAACTTAGGCTTCAATTGCATTTCTTTCTAATTATAAAATGCAAAAAAGTCCCAACATTTTGAGCAAGAAGTACATGTATGTATGTTTATTTTGTATTATTATTTCAAACTCACTTCAAAGCCTTCAGCTGATAGGTCAGTCTCATCTTGTAACACCACCTCTGATTGGCTGGCCTCTTTCAGTCCGCCTGTGAACATTGCCCTGAAGACATTACTCATTGATGCAAGTACAACCTGAAGTAAAAGGTAAAATACAAAGGGGCAATTCCACGGTTACTCACGTTACATTTTCGTTACCTGAGTAACCGATTTTGTGCGTCTTGTTTATCATACACAACACATTTTTCTGGATGTCATCTTTGGTGCTTAGGTAGGTCTAGGTCTACTCTATCTACCATGGGGATAACAGTTATTAAACCTTTTCAGTAAGGTAATTACAGCCCAAGGAAACTCAAAAGTACATCAAAAATGTAACATAAGTAACCGTGGAATTGCCCAAAGGCATCTATGTCCAATATAAAGGTCAAGTAAAAAATTAACCAGTTCTCATCTCTGCCTGCACCAGCTTCTTTATTTTCCCGGCCGCCTCCTTTTTTTTCTCTCTCTCTAAATTCATACATTTGCAATATTATATTTGCACACATTTTTTATTAGTTTCAACACAATTTTATCTATGTAGCAAGGGTTTTGTATGGTTCCTTTGGACACAATTTCCGAAATCTGGACAAGCTGCTGATCGGTAATTTGAATGCCATATTTCAATTTTTTTTCATACAATGGCATAGAGAGATCTCATGAAATCCGACATGGCTTTCAAAAAAATTTACCAAAGACCTGATATAGGAAGTACCTGCTGAATGGTCAGAATCTTGGTTGAGACGTGACGCAGTCTAGTTGCATAATATAATCACCAAATCTGCTTGCATATCATGGACACTTTCTTTCTCCTGACCAAAATATTTCTATGTCGTTGGCGTACACAACTGAAGGGCACTGCCCCTGGATTTATCATGCCAAGATAATTGATTGTATTCTAGTTTTAAGTGGATCCTTTGCTGAATAAACAATAAATCTGCTGTTAATTAATTAGGTGAGTTTTTAAAAACCACGGTCCAAGTCAAATCTTGAGTTGAGGAAGTAGGCCTAATTCCAGCTCTTCTGGCGAATCTCCCAATAACATAAGCCTAGTGTCTTGAGCTGGATATTTCAAGCTATATTAATTCTAAGTCAGTCAACCTTGTGGGCACGAAACTGCCTGTCGTCCACATTAACGGTCACATCGCACAGCGCCCCCTCGTGACGAAGCGAGTCCAACTCCGTAGCCAACGACAACAGTTGTGGAATCACGACAGAATCTTTCGATTCTTGTGGCACAGAAAGCACACTACTATCGCCACTCTGGTCCAGTTCCATCTTGGAACTATCCTCGACACCCACTTATTCAAATCACATCGGTGTAAATTCGATTAACACTGAAATTTTACAGAAATGTTGGGTTACATGTTTCGCAAATCATTTTTTCGTCAACTATCCGTAATTAGACTTGACTCAAGTCCAACAAATTGCTTAAATTGGGAATGGACGTAACTCATGCAATCGCACCCCTTCGATCCTACCTCAATCACCGATATGATACGAATATTTTGTTCCTGGGCCATTTATTCAATTTTTCATATTATTAGTCCTTCATTTAGATGTTGCAATGTTGAAAGAAATATTTATTCACGCACATAGAGGGTAACCACCTTGAAACAAGTTTAGTTTTGACTAGTACATGCTATGGCTGTTTTGTGTTGATACTGTTTAAAATTTTGTCTGACTTTGTAATCAGTATCGCCACCAAACAGCCGTTCGTAAGGAATTTAGAATGTTTTTTGAAGAAAATATTGAGGTCCTCTCTAATAATGAGCCGAGAAATGACCATGTCCAAATGATGGTTCAGACATTTACATTATTTAATTAACAAAATTGCACAGAATGATAAAAAATAACATAACACCCCACCCCCCTGGAAATTTATAATTATTAATAATATTAAGTGACCATGGCTTCAACAGAAATTGCCCCCCCCCTCCTCCAGACCCGTACGTAACATCCACCCCCTCCCCTCACTCAAACTACTCCCCCACTCGAAATGTACCCCCCGCCCCCAGCTGTTAATTTAGTCAATTATGCACGGCGAGCCAGGCGGTGTTATTGTATAGGATTACTATGGAACGTCAATACACTCAGCAAAAATCTTTTTAGTGCTTGTTTTTTTGGGTTTTTTTTAATGAGTTTTATTAAACCATATCAGGTTTTAAAGATACATTTAGATCATTTGTCATTTGTTTCCTTTGAAGCACAGAATTACAAAAGTGCTCAAAACTGAAAGATGGTCGTTTAACAATTATCTAATCAGATATTATGTTTATTCTGAGAAACAATATTCTAGGATCTCGATTTCAATTCGCAGTCACATTCCCATCATGAAACTCGCCCAAATCAGCATCCAGCGAACGTACACGTTCTCATTTAGACGATTGCAGCTATGCGCTATATGTCACGCACTGAACCATCAAATAAAAGCAACCGCGTGCGTGTGCGTCATGTCATCAACGTATTTGCCCAATTCAGGCATGCAACTGGGAAATCACAAAAAAAGAGGAAATTCAAATTTTTCCCAGACTTTGTACAGTGTTTTTCTATTTTCAATGGCACACATGGGAAGTAAAAAAATAGGAAATCAGCTGATCCGAGGAAAAGTTGCATGCCTGCCAATTACAAACCAACTACTGACGGAAATTTCCAAAAATGCGTCACTTTACTCAATTTTGGAAATGACCTTTTATTGTTTTCTTTAAAATGACAGCATGCAAGAGAAAAATTGTTTCTCAGTGTGTTTAGTGCAAAAGCCGTTAAGCTTTTAAACAATAATTTGGTCAGTTACTTTTTGGAAGGCTGCAAATGATCTACTCGACCTTTAAAGGGAATATACAACATTTGCAAACATCGAAAAATAAAACTACCAAGTTTTTGCGAAATACCTTAATAGGATGTTGGTAAATGACAGTCTAAAGCATCCTGTAAAATTATGGCACCTGGTAAACTGTCATTTTCAAGAAAAGTGGTATTTTTGTATCAATTTCCAACGCTGATCGGCCGATCAGCGTTGGAAACAACTGGCTTTTTTTTAAATACTGGCCCCAATTGACCATTGTACTTGTTTGCAATCGATTACAAACCTATGAACGGGTACGAGCCAGCTAGACTGGTTCCCTGACCTTACAATTCCCCAATGTATGTAAACTGCTCTGTTTCTTCTTATATGGAGTCAGGGAACCAGACTACAGGAAAATGATCGTTTTTCTTGGTTTTTATAGCATTTTCGAACCCAAAACCTCCAAAAAGTCAGTGTAACTATATTTGCTTTATATTTCCAACCCCCCAATTCCATCCATTTCTGAAAATTACAGCAAAAGCAAATGATGTATATTCCCTTTAACACACTTGAGTAGCTTTCTTTGGTGCTCATCTAACACTTGGGTAAATGTGCATAAATAAATAGCAAGTGAATAAATGCCCTTTAAAATACTACCAATTAAACTACATGTTTCATTCTGTGCATTATAACATGGCAAAAACTAAAAAGATTGACTGTTGAAGCTCACATAATGTACATATATACTAGAGCACACCCATAGGCGTCGCGAGGGGGGGGGGGGAGGGGGGGGCGCTTCCCCCCCCCCCCCCTGGAAAAGCAACACACAAAAAAGAAAGAAGAAAAAAAAGGAGAAAAAAAGAAAAGAAAAAGAGGTGGGAAGTCATAGTGGTGTAAATTTAATGAGTTGGAGGGGGGGGGGGAAATGTCCCGCCCCCCTCTTAAACTGATAAATCGAGAGAAATACAAGAATTTTTTGGGAAAAATATGTTTTGCCCCCCTCTAGAAAAAATCCTGGCGACGGCCATGAGCACACCATGTCAGTTGTAAAGGTACAGTATACAAATATTGACTGCTTCACTGTGGTATAGTATAACTAGCCTTCCGGGATGATCCATCAAGCATTCTTTCCCCCCCCCCCCCTGAGGTGAAGCCAAGGGAAATGGAATACTCCATGCATCACTGAGGGAGTATTTGTTTTATAAGACCTCACCCAAAGATTCAGCTTCATTTTAAGAGAAAAACTGATTAATATTAATCTTAATACAATTAAAATGTATTTCTTGTTCAATACGAAATTGGTCGAAAATTTACTTGAACTTGTCCAAACCACCCCTTTACAAAATATTTTAACCCAGCTCTGTAGCGCTAGCACATGTGAACATTACGCGCAAGCAGCACAATGCGCACATCATACTGGTTGCTATGCGTATACTCTTTTTGGCGTGCACATACAGCAAGATAGCAAAATAGTGAACACTGTATGATTCGCTCTCGGCCAATCAAGATACAGAATCTAGTGGGTGAGGTGTTGGCGACCACAAGGTTATCATAACCCTTTAGCACTTGTAATACCTTGTATTACATTGTATTTACTCCTCCATGAAACAATTAAGCCACAGAGTGCTGGGGATGTTTGGGGCAGTATGCGGAGTAACAGGCAGGGCGGTTTGGGGCGATACAGGGAGTAACAGGCAGGGCTGTTTGGGGCAGTACAGGGAGTAACAGGCAGGGCAGTTTTGGGCAGTACAGGGAGTAACAGGCAAAGTGGTTTGGGCGATACAGAGAGTAACAGGCAGGGTGGTTTGGGGCGGTACAAGAGCTCAAGGGTTATTACAGCAAAGCTTGCATTATGACAATTTGTGACTAAGTCGATTGACAGAAAACCACATGCACATGTGCAATCTGAATTTTTGTGAGCATCATTAATTTCTTTGCACTTGATTTCATTTACACATCTAATATTTCTCTCTTTTTTTTCCAAGAAAGTTTTGACTGATTTTACAAGCAAAGCGTGACTCAATAAATAAAAGAAATAGAAATAAAAATAAGTCTATATGAGACTTTTTTTCTAAAAGTAAATAAATAAATCGGGAATCACCAACAACAGGCTGAATAGCTCAGTTGGTTTAGCACCGGAGCGGCAATCTGGAGGTCGCAGGTTCAAACCTTGCCCCAGTTTCTTCGTTCAACTTTAAAATTCAATAATAAATGCGATGGCTACAATTTCAAGGTTTTCACTGAATTAAAAAAAAAGTATCACTAAATTGCTCATATTGTCACATATGTCCATTCACGATATGACAAGGTTCACCATTACTACATCCGTTGCCATTGGTTACTAAGGGTGTGCTCCCATTGGTCAATTCATTCTTGTACCCGTCTATCGTCTCAGACTTTTTCTTGGTGCTTTCCTTTTGCTTCAAACTGAGGGCGCTGCACTTGTTCTCCAGGGTCATGTGACTTTGCGGCGGCAGCCCGACGCATGCCCTGCAATGATAAACAAATACTTGTTGAAATAAAAGTGATGCGGTAGACGTACACTTCAACACAGTAGAACGTAAATGTTTGGGGTCAAAGAAAGCAAGACACACCACGGGTATACATTTCTCCAGGACGGGTCTTAGTGGGGAACACAAACCTGCAATGTTAACAAATCCTGGTTTTTCCCACACGACCACAATGCACTTGTAGGGAGTATTTATAGCTATATTTTGGACCACTGCAGAATGGCGTGTAACCATTTTTGTTTGCCTGTTGCAGAGGCGAGAAAACGGCACTTGGCATCCATGCTGAAAAGTACACAGGTTTTTTTTCACTGGACACACGGTGACTGCTCTATGTTCCGACACCCCTATGTTCCGACAACCTAGATTGTGTTACTCCCGGTTAGGGTTAGGGTTAGGAATAGGAATATGTGCAGTCGGAACATAGGGGTGTCGGAACATAGAGGTGTAAACGGACACACGGCCTCCATAAAATAAGAAAGTTACGGGGGGGGGGGGGAACCTTCCACCTATGGGGCGCTGTTCAAACCGGACATTTTCAGACCATAGGTGGTGGTGCTCTTCTTGCAAATGTTCACGCAAGGTAAACAAGGGCACTAGTGAAAAAAAGGGCACTCTTTAAAACATATTGTGTTGCAAAGTAGAATATTCATCCCGTTAGCCAATTTCACCATCCTGATTTTGCTTCTATCTGCGTCCTGATTTTGCTATTATAAACCTCCAACCCGCTGCCATTTGCCACTCTTTGTAATCCCCTGGTTACGCTAGTGATTCATGTGGCCAATGTCTAGCGAGTAAATAATCCTTGTCAAAACAAATTTAGACATATTCTCTCTATATTTACCTGAAAATATTCTCGATGCAGGCACGTTGCTTGAATAAGGCGTTGACGACAGGTGCACCAGGGGGGACCAAGGGAGCTTTACACAGGTAGCTCAGAATGGACATGACGGGGTGGAAACTCTGAAAATCTGGCTCACTCTCTGAAGGGAAAATGGATAAAAAAAAACAGAAGACAAAAAAATGAAAGTGAGTTCTGTGGATTTGAAGATTACTTTACAAAACCTGACTCGACTGTCCACTGCCCTGTCTACAATAAGCCCATGTCACACATGATGATTTGATAAACTTTACCCAGGTTGAAAAAAAAAAATACCTCTCTTGAAAGTCATTCTCTGGCAAATATCGCAGGAATGAACACCGCCCTCAACAGACAATGCACAAACCGGAAAAGATATATTCTGCGCGCCAACAAAAGAGGGCGTTTTTCAACCGCTTTTGAGAACCCCGTGGACGGGACATTCTGCGTGTGCGTATCGGTTGGCTCACGTATACCAGTAGTACGCACGACTAATTTTATTCTAAATATATACACAAAGCCATAGTGTCTTCGCATGAGCGTCGGGCGTCACCAGTGATGGGTTCAAATGGCTCCCCCAACTCTCCCCTTCTTGCCGGCGAGGCCGGGGGTACTTGTGAACGGAGCCCGTGGATAGATGAAGGACAAACACCCTCCTGATTTGGAAAATAATTTAATGGTGAATAGCGCCCTCAACAACCAATTCATAGACCAGATAAGATATAGCTAGACCACTGAGGGACAAACACCCACCCATCTTAAACGTGTTCCGCTGGCAAACAGCGCCCTCTACAGTCAATGCACAGACTAGGTAAGATATAGCTAGACAGATTGAGGGCCGAACACCCACCAGTGTTGAAAATGATCAGCAGGCAAACAGCGCCCTCTACAGTCAATGCACAGACTAGATAAGATACAGCTAGACAGACTATGGGCTGAACACCCACCCGTCTTGAAAATGATCCACAGGCAAACAGCGCCTCCACAGTCAATGCACAGACCAGATAAGATATAGATAGACAGACCAAGGGACGAACACCCACCCGTCTTAAAAGTGATTCGCTGGCAAACAGCGCCCTCTACAGTCAATGCACAGACCAGATAAGATATAGATAGACAGACCAAGGGACGAACACCCACCCGTCTTAAAAGTGATTCGCTGGCAAACAGCGCCCTCTACAGTCAATGCACAGACCAGATAAGATACAGCTAGACAGACTGAGGGATGAACACCAACCCGTCTTGAAAATGATCCGCAGGCAAACAGCGCCCTCTACAGTCCATGCACAGACCAGATAAGATATAGATAGACCGACCAAGGGACAGACACCCAACCGTCTTGAAAGTGATCCGCTGGCAAACAGCGCCCTCTACAGTCCATGCACAGACCAGATAAGATTTAGATAGACAGACTGAGGGACGAACACCCACCCGTCTTGAAAATGATCCGCAGGCAAACAGCGCCCTCTACAGTATATGCACAGACCAGATAAGATATAGCTAGACAGACTGAGGGACGAACACCAACCCGTCTTGAAAATGATCCGCAGGCAAACAGCGCCCTCTACAGTCTATGCACAGATTAGATAAGATATAGATAGACCGACCAAGGGACAGACACCCAACCGTCTTGAAAGTGATCCGTTGGCAAACAGCCCCCTCTACTGTCGATGCACAGACCAGATAAGATATACATGTAGATAGACAGACCAAGGGACAGACACCCACCCGTTTTAAAAGTGATCCGTTGGCAAATCTCGGCAAGGATGACCAAGTCCAGGATGATCGGGCTGGCCAGCAAGGAATCCTCGCAGGTGTTGTGCAGCACGATGGTGTTCTTGCCCCCCATCATGATCTCAGAGGTGTACTCGTCCAAGGCACGCTTGCTATCACCGACGTACGGCACGTACTTGATCACGACCTGTCACCAAAACCAAACTCAAATTATACACAGTTGCGTATCAAACTGGGGGCGCCAAAACGTGGAAACATGGTTTTCAAAGTTTTAATTGTATCCGCTTTTAACATCAGGTGTTGGTGTGGAAGTGACAAATAAACTGAAAATTGTTTTAGGGAATCCCAAGAATCAATTTTTACTATTAGCTTTTACCAGGGTTTGACCTTAGCTGTAGTCCGCTCGCCAAATGCGAGTAAAAACAGCAAGGAGCCTTTTCAAAACCATTCCCGAAGTAGTCCCCCTGGCGAGATGAAATTAATGTAAATAACATTGTTGTTTATGACATTCTAGTGAAACAAATTACAGATTCCTTTGGGGGACTAGTGAAAAGGCCCGTGGACTAGATAAGAGTCTGTTTCAATAGTCCGGCTGGCTAGTAAAAAAAAGAAATTAAGGGCGAACCCTGGCTTTTACTCAAGAACTCTGATCCCAAATCCAAGTCATATTTCTCCACCTGAGTATCTGTACTTACGCAGTGGTCAGGTTTCTTGTTGTCCTTATAGAGGATCGGGTTTGATTCCACCATGTCATCCACTACGTTGCTCTTGGAAATCTGCGGGAAAAAAAGTAGCAAAAGATCAGAAACTATAGAAAGCTATCACATATAAACCTGAATACATTTAAACATGCCAATTGTGTCAATTGACACAAAAACCCAGAGTCATCTTTTGGCCAATATATGCAAAATTTGAAAGAATTTGAAAAAAAGTCTCCGGTTTCTGGTATGGAGCTTGCCCAAAAGGTGGTGCGGCGACGCGGCTTTTTTTTTTTTTTACCTGATTTTTTTGCTTCAAATGTCCAGAGAGGCCACATAAAGCTTATTCTCGACCATAACCCAATCTAAAAACACGTTAAAATTGTGCAGCAGCATGATTCCAGTCAAACCAGTGAGTTTGGTGGTTTTGAGACATCATCTTTCATTGAAAAAAAACCTTTTTCATTTTGCCGACCCGCATGGCAACGGCAATGCGCGCACATACCAGAGACTTTTTTTTTGGCCTTAGGATGCAGCCTTATACAAGCAACCTGTCGGCTGGGTCCTTAAAGTCTACGCATAAAGTCTACCCATGAGGTCTAAGAAATACGAAGGGTGCTCAAGTTTAAGGAATAAGTCAATCTGGCATGAAATGTCATCATGGCCTACGTCAAGGTGAAAATGCACAAAACGCTACTCCGTCCCATAAATTCAAAACTTTTATTTTTCGATTTATTGACATTCAACGGTTGTATTCAAAAATGCTATCAAAAGCTTGGAAAACACAACGACTATCCTCTATCAATAGAATTTCTGTAGAAATATAACTATGCAGTTTTTCTAGTATATATTTTTCTGGTCAGTCTTGCAATTGACTTTGTATTTCGTTAATCTTTCAGAAATTTGAGATAATTAACACACTGTTATAATGCAACTCAAAATAATTATAATATACACGACTACAATGTACATGTAATTGTCGCACAGATTTTTCATATTATTCATGTTATTCAGGGAATTATTGTAATTAAGGGAATTATTGTTGTTAATGTATTTTTACTCTGTTGGACGGTTTTTAATCAAATTTGGTATACTACTTTTAATTGGATAGTTGTTCTTTGGGGAGACAGGTGTTTTTACCAATTAATCTGAATAAATAAAGTATTATTCCATCCTGTGTGCTCATTGTCTCTGTCCCTTTGCCAGATTCATGCTATTGTGTCTCATTCAGTGCACATCACTGGAGTTTGTTTCATTCCCTTTAACGCGTTTCTATCATTCCGTTCCCCCTGTGAGCGTCCTTTGTTTGTCTTCTAAGGCCCAAAAAAAAGTCTCCGGTTTCTGGTATGGAGCTTGCCCAAAAAGTGGTGTGGCGACGCGGCTTTTTTTTTTTTTTTAACCTGATTTTTTTGTTTCAAATGTCGGCTGATGACTGCAAAACCAGTGAGTTTGGCGGTTTTGAGACATCATCTTTCATTGAAAAAAAAAACGTTTTCATTTTGCCGACGCGCATGGCACCGGCGACGCGCGCGCATACCAGAAACCGGAGACTTTTTTTTTTTGGCCTTAGGATGCAGCCTCATACAAGCAACCTGTCGGCTGGCTCCTTAGGCGGAATAAAAAAAAAACATGTTTCTCATCCGGGTGTTTGAAAAAAAAGGAGGAAGCGGGGCTTTTTATTTTTTGTCATGTTTTATTTTCAATGAAATAATTTTTTTAAATGAATAACATAATATAATACATTTGCGGGGTGAATATACAAGAGAGGTCACCCACTGAAAAAAAGGCGATCTCTCTTGCCCACAATATTTCAAAAAAGGCGTATATGGACCTTTTTAATTTTTTTTAAATAAAATTTTACCAACTTATTATTCGTGTTTTTTTTTTCAAAAGTATTACTTTTTTACCTCCTTGGATCTGAACTGCTGGGGAGCGGAGAGATTTTTACCATCGTTGTTGCCAAGGTGGTTGTAACTCACGATAGACACGGGCTAAGAGAAAACACAAATAGAGAGGCAGACTTTTCAGGAAGCTCAAAAAGTCAAGAAAGATTTGATATTAATCGCCTTGGCTGTGTGGAAATTGTTTCCAAGCACCATATTATGTCGTGTCAGTGCAAAAACGTCCTAACTGCCAAATTTGTCAGAATTAACCCTTTCATGCCCACATTGTTTATTGACTAGGGCCCCCCAGGACCAAATTGTTTGCTCAGTCATGCGGAAATCACTAGAGTGTGAACAAAATGAGCACGAGTCAAAAACTTACTTTTTTCAACCCAGATTTTTATTGCCAAGGAGTGATTAAAATCATAAATGTTGTGTGTAAAGTTTGTTCCTTGAACCTTACTCTTTTATGTGATGTCAAAATGAAGTCCATACGTGCAAATATAAGGAAGTTATACCTTTATGTTCATCTGGTCCCAATTATCAAACTGCAAGCCATTTCACCACATGACCAAATGGCACTCCATACCTCAAATTGTGCATGGATACTTCGGAAGCACTTTTCTCATTTTTTTTGTATGGTAACACTATGAATAAACCACACCAATAGAAAGATCCGAAAACACTCTTTCAGCTGGTATATAGTTGATGTATCAAAACACTATCAACATAACGCCTTTTTGAAAAGTAGTGAATATATCTGTGTTGAGGGTGTTCTGTGTGTGGTTTCCTGGTCGACTAAAGTCGCCCATGGGAACCAACAGGGGGCTACTTCTTGTCGACAAAAGTCGCCCATGGTAAGGAAAGGGTTAAGCTTTGTGTGCATTTTGATTAAGATTTACCCATAGATTATTACAGGAGAGTTTCACTGAAAAATAGTGCATCACGATGACGTAATTGATTCAAGTCATAAGGTCGCATCTCGATTATGCGCCTGAACATGCAAGCAAAAACTTCATCTGTTGATCTCATCCATTTAAAAGTTCTTTTATCTCAAATCACACGGGATAAGAAAGAGTTCAACAGATGAACATGTTTCTCCCTGAAGTTACTTTATCTTTTATTTTTTTTTATGAAACGCAAAAATTTAGTGAGCCATCGCAAACCTACTGACGCGTTTTTCTTAAAACGACTCACAACTGAGATACAACGCTTTTGCGCGGACACAACGAATGTACATGTACTTCACCCAGGAGAATTGAGCATTGTAAGACTACAGAAATGAAAACGAGCGTTCAAGTATTGCACTGTATCAAGCAATGAATAAAATGGACAGAATAATCGCTCCAGAAACTGACCTTGATACCAGCGCTTACGAGGAAATCTACCAGGACTGATTTCAGCTTGGTCTGGCCTGACTTGAAGTCGTCGCCAGCGATCATGACGCCTTTTTGGGTGGCGAGCTCGATGACGCCGGGAACGAACGTGTTCTGGGGAGAACCGTTGAGGTAGGCACACTAGGGGAGAAAAAAAAAAACAATCTCCATGACAACTCGTGATGGCATTTAATAACTTTTGAAACTGGAAAACACGAAGTTTATTTGGTTGTTCTGCATGAGGGCAATGAGGGATGGTCATTAAAGGGAATATACAACATTTGCAAACATCGAAAAATAAACTACCAAGTTTTTACGAAATACCTTACTAGGATGTTGGTAAATGACAGTCTAAGGCATCCTGTAAAATTATAGCACCTGGTGTCAAGTCATTTTCAAGAAAATGATATTTTTGTATACATTTCCAACGGTGGTCGGCCGATCACCGTTGGAAAAACCTAACTATTTTTCCACTACTGCTCCAAATTTACAATTTTCAGTCCAAATTTTGTTTGCTATTGGTTACATGTTCATGAACGGGTGCTGGCCAGCTAGACTGGTTCCCTTACCTTACAATTTTCCGACAACTATAAATTGATCCATTTTATCTTTAGTGGAGTCAGGGAACCAGACTACTTTAAAAAAAAAAAAATTTCTTGGTTTTTCAAGCATTTTCGAAACACAAAACTTCAAAACATGTCAGTTAAACAATATTTGATCTAGGCCTATTATACTAACCCCTCAAATAGTTCATTTCTGAAAATTACAGCAAAAGCCAATGATGTACATTCCCTTTAAGCAGAAACTGTCCTAATTACTACAAAATGCTCCAAATCTACTGGTTAATTTCGAGGGACACGAGAGGGTATGGTTAGAGTTAAGCGAATCTGGCAGGTTTTGGGTTGGAGTCCAGCCTGGGGTTGTGGTGTGTGTGTCCTTGGGCAAGGCACTTTGTAGCTCATTGCTTCTCCACGCCCAAGAGTAAATGGGTACCTGTGAGGGCAGATATGGTTATGTGGTTGAATTTGGCTGTGCCAAAATGGTAGCATCAAGCTGTTTGCTCCCACGGAAGCTGAGATTGTCTTTGGAATGTTTCACCGGCCAATGAGCAGGGGTAATAATGAGTGCCTCCTCGGGCGCCTATACTGGCATATGTGTGCTGCATAAAAGAAATGCATTATAAGTCAAGCTCTCGTACCCCTTCCAAGATACTTGCGACAGCGAAGAGGGTGGAAGGCGAGATCTCGACGGCATTCTTGTTGATGGAGTCCAGCAGCTCCTCAGCGGTGGTGTTGAGTCCTGGCTCCACTGCGCAAAAACGCTCCGTGTTGGCCGTCCACAGAACAATCACCTGCATTGTCAAATAACAAACATGAAACTTGGAGGTAGCGAAAAAAAGAGGAAACTCCAATCTTTTACTAGACTTTGTACCGTGTTTTTCAATTTTTAATGGCAGAAGTGTGAAGTGAAAAACGAGGAAATCAGCTGATCCGAGAAAAAGTGGCATGCCTGCAAATATAAGCAAAGGATGAGACAAGTGCTATGGCAAAACAGCTACATGTAACTGAGACATTTCAAGGAAATGCCAATGAAATTCCCTCGTTGACTTTTGCCAAACACATCCAGATGTTGCTTGACCACTTGCTTCTCTCCACCCAGGAGTAAATGGGTACCTGTGAGGGCAGAGATGGTTATTGTGATTGAATTAGCTACCTTGCGCCTAACAGGCTGCATCGAGCTGTATACTCCCCAGGGAGCTGAGATGGTATTTGGAATGTTTCACGTGCCCAATGAGCAGGGGTAATAATAATGATGTAGCGCCTTGAGCACCAGTCCTGGTGGATACGTGCGCTTTATAGATAGCCAATATTATTATTATTATTATTCTATGAGCACATTACAAGTGGGTAAAGAATACACATGCATTTCGATCAGTGGTAAGCAACCACTATCTTTTTTCAAAGTCTCCCTTTCCTTCTCAAGATTTTGTGACAGTTTAGCAGTCACCGGCATGCTTGGACAGGGCCTTCACCCAACAGCTCCAACCCACAGTCATATGGAGATACCATCTCCATTACCTTATCCAAATTCTTAGACGTCTTGAAGTCTTTGATGTCATCCCGGATTTTCTGGACCAATTCTTGCTTGGTACCTGGATTGAAGAAAGAAAATAACCCAAAAAAATTCAGAGAAACAGAGAAAAATTCAATCACATGAAACTGTCAGATTCTATGATTGCTAAAACGTTTTGAATCAATGTGAAGTATATACATTTTCAAACTCACCTGACAGCACATTGTTGGCTCGGTCCTTCTGATTGGCTGCGATGAAAGAAGGTGTGTAGATGGAGGGGCGGGGCTTAAGGCTCTTCATGTAGGGGCGGAGCTTCTGCTGGAGTTCGTAGTCTAGTACCTGGGCTCGCTGCATGGCGTCGGCCAGGTTCATGGATGAGATGTCCCAACCTAAGATCGAATTTGGTGTAGTAAGAAAACAAATACGACTTTATAACAAAATAAGTGACGATGTTTCAGGGTTTTCAAAAGCTTTGAAATGTCATGTCAATCATGTCAATGTATGACAGCTGAATTTCAACACTTACCCTCCTATGCAAACAGACATTCTCTGCCAAGTTGTCCTTTCCGTCAAATCAATCAAGTGACTGTTTTCAACAGTTAAGAGCTCCCAGCCTACATAAAGCAGGATTGACTGGCTGTGACTGTTTATGTAACTTGATACAGCAATGCTATGACTGTAGGCGACTGTAAAAGCCAGCTGTGCCTACCACTTGCCTGATTTTGTCTGTTGACTGAATTTGACTGGTCACAGTGCTTGCTTGAAATATGATCTGACTGTTGGTGACTAGCCTGTGTAAAAGGCATGGCAGCAGGGGAAGACGAATGATTTTTTGACTGTCTGTGAATGTTCAGGTAGCAGGAGGGTTAATGCTCTGAGGAGGTCGATTGTTCCAATTTACATGTATGATCCACAAGTTTATCTTCAATGAAACAAAATCTCGTTCCAGAGATTTTTGAGAATATCCAAGACATTACCATCAAATAAGATGTCGGTGGGTTCCACCATCGGTAAGATGCCTTTGAAGGGAATGAAGACCTCACCGTCTCCTCCGCTGCCTAGCGACAAGGTCGACGCCTGGGTCAGGGATCCGTAGAAATTGGCATGCTGCCAAAAAGACAAACAAATGAAACCATGGGCTGTTCAGTGACTTATTATGCAAAACTCAATATCCCATGTTAGCTTAAAGGTAGAGTAGGTCATAAATTTGTCATTTATGCATTTGTTTTGTTTGCAGCAACAAAAGTGCTCAAAAGCTAAAGAAGGGTGCTTAACAACTAACCTGATGAAGTTTTAGCTCTATTATGCTGCATATTCTGAGAAAACAATATTCTAAGATCTTGATTTGAATTCAAAACTTGCCAAGTCATATTTTGCATTGCGCCCAAAATCAGCATCCGGAACACGTTCTCATCCAGCGGATTGCAGATACACGATTTCATGTACCGAACCAAACAAGAATAGCAACCGTGTGTGCATCGCGTCAACACTTGCGCGCACCCATTCACAGATTTGCCCAATTACGAACCAACTACTAATAGAAATTTCCAAAAATGTGTCACTTGACACATCCTTGGAATTTACCTTCTCTTATTGTTTTCTTCAAAATGACAGCATGCCAACAGGAATTTCAAATGGCCAGTACTATCTTTAAACCAAGTAAGCTTTTTGACAACAATTTGGTCAGTTACATGTACTTGTTGGAAAGCTGTAAATGATCTACTCTATATTTAATAAAGCAGGCCTCATAAGAAATTAATAACAATAAATATTATTATCAAACTAATATTAATAAAGTGGCAAAATTGTAAAATTGATTTTTGTTTTAATGTAAACTTATATTGTGTGCATTGAAAACAAAACAAAAAACCTCCTGCAAATATGGTAAAACCTTTCCATCAATAAATTACGTCATTGATTTTTTTCAGAATAATTTTGAGGAATTTTTTCCAGACACTACTCAATAGAGTACATTTATGTAAAGCTTAAAAAAATCGATAAAGAGTAAACACACCAATAACTCAAGCATAGGGATAGAATGCAATTAAACTGTATTGACTGATAATATCGTGTAAATGTTTCTTAAGAGTATTGATTTTGTTTGAAATGTAAAATGTGGCTTCAGGCCCAAGCTAAACGTTATTAAAAATCTATTGAAACTACATGAAAATGGGGACGTGTATGCATATAGAGTGCACATGCACTTTATAGCTCCTGATTTTTAATGAAGGAGGATTTAAGCCAAAAAAAAAAGTCTCCGGTTTCTGGTATGCGCGCGCGTCGCCGTAGCCATGCGCGTCGGCAAAGTGAAAAAGGTTTTTTTTTCAATGAAAGATGATGTCTCACAACCGCCAAACTCACTGGTTTGACTGGAATCCTGCTGCTGCACAATTTTAACGTGTTTTTAGATGGGGTTATGGTCGAGAATAAGCTTTATGTGGCCTCTCTGGACTCCTATATATTTGCACTAAGTTTAGTCGGGTACCATTTGCAGTCATCAGCCGACATTTGAAGCAAAAAAATCAGGTAAAAAAAAAAAAAAAGCCGCGTCGCCGCACCACTTTTTGGGCAAGCTCCATACCAGAAACCGGAGACTTTTTTTTTTTTGCCTTATGCTTTGAATTTTTTTTTTATTTAAAATGTAAATTTTGTTTTTTAATTTCAATAATCCACTTCACCTGTGTCAATAAAAAATGGAAAAAACATCTGTTTGATAGCGCTTTCCATTATTTCATGAATACCCGTACCATGAAAGTGATTACATCAACCGAATATTTATGAGCAAGTTTTTCCGTTGGACAATTTTTTCCGTATTTAAAATGTAAATTTTGTTTTCAATTTCAATAATCCACTTCACCCGTGTCATTAAAAAATGAAAAACCCATCTGTTTGATAGCGCTGCACATTATTCCATGAATACCGGTACCATGAAAGTGATTACATCAACTGAATACTAATGAGCAAGTTTTTCGGTTGGACACAATTTTCCAGGGAGCTTTTGTTAACCGATTAGTTTTTTTTGGCCTGCTGAATTAATTCACGTAATTAAAGATTGAATAAACAAATGCATAGCTGACGTCTAGCTGACTCATATGCACTGCAGCATGCGACATGTTTGAACCAATAGTTTCTGAATTGTGGCTTAAAGGGAAAATACAACATTTGCAAACATCAAAAAATGAAACTACCAAATCATTTTGAAATACCTTGCTGGACTGTTAGTGAATGACAGTGTGAAGCAGCCTGTAAAATCATGGCACCTGGTATACTGTCATTTTCAAGAAAAGTGGTATTTTTGTATCAATTTCCAACGCTGATCGGCCGATCAGCGTTGGAAAAAAACTTGGTTTTTTTTTCAAATACTGGCCCCAGTTGACCGTCGCACTTGTTTGCAATCGATTACACACCTATGAACGGGTACAAGCCAGCTAGACTGGTTCCCTTTACCTTACAATTCCCCAATATATGTAAACTGCTCTGTTTCTTCTTAAATGGAGTCAGGGAACCAGACTACAGGAAAATGATTGTTTTTCTTGGTTTTTATAGCATTTTCGAACCCAAAACTTCAAAAAAGTCAGTGTAACTATATTTGCTATATATTTCCAACCCCCAATTCCATCCATTTCTGAAAATTACAGCAAAAGCAAATGATGTATATTCCCTTTAATATGAACCAAATTGTATGAGTTTTACACAATCAAGTTAATCAAATCTGAATGAGATGATACTGAAACTGGTTTCAACTAAAAATGTAACCCTTTAGTCCCTGCCCCTAAGAGCCCTGCCTGTTACTCATTATACTGCCCCAAGCCGCCCCCTATGGTTGTGTGGATTCTACATGAAGGAGTAGATACAGTGAAGTATGAACAAAGGGGAGTGTGGCCTAGTGGTTAGGGTTTGTGATTCTTGATCTGATCGGAGGGTCGGGTGTTCGAATCCAGCCGCTGGCCGTATGTTGTGCCCTTGGGCAAGCCACTTCACCCCCACTTGCCTCCCTCCACCCAGGAGTATAAATGGGTACCGGCATTAGCTGGGGAGTAACCTGCGATAGACTAGCATCCCATCCAGGGGGACTCGAAATATTCTTAGTCGCTGCATGCCAAGGAAACCGAGAAAAACTCCTGCTTGATGGGCCATATTGGCTTGTGACAGACTTACATTTTACTTACATTGCTAATGGGATACAAATGCTCATGGCATAATCCACATTTTCCAACATGTACAAATGTACATGTATCTGTCTGTTTTACCCACGACCAAAATCCCACGATTAATTAGGATGACGTGGCTCAACAATGTCAAACATTTCCCGGGGGCGAGAGTTTTAACACCTGGTGTGTGGGAAACCGAACTAGACCGCGTCATCAATCAGACCACGACAGCCCACAGAACAACCAAAAGAGATTTCAATTTGCTACTAATTGTGACCTGTCATCACAAATTGAGCTTAAAGTTGGAATTTTTAAGAATTGAGGTATTCACATATCTGGATTCTGCCGGAAAAGGGCTTTCAAATGGTATGCAACATTAAGGGGTACTGAGTTCAGTTACGGAAATATAGACCACCAACTAACTTGAAGTTGTAAAACTGATTCTTGAGAAAATGGCATTTAAAAATCCTGCAGTTGTGTTACAGTGAAAGAACAGTCAACTCATAACAGACGGGAGGAAATAGGTTTTAAAGATGATTGACAGAACAAAAAATTGGAGAAAGGTAGCACAGGACTTACAGATTGAGGTTTACCTGAAAACAAAAAAAATCGACCACCCCTTCAAATTTTGGCTTTGCCCCACTGTACTGCAAAATGGGTCATTCTATAAATTTGAGGTGCAAAGCGTGACATTTTTCCCGTCCCTGTTACCTTGGTACTTTGTAATTTGCCATTCAAACATCATTAAAACTGACTTCAAATGATTGTTTATTTGTTGGGTAGGTAGTTTGCTATTCATAATCACTCTTGGAGGATGACTGCATTAAGGAGTGCATCAGAATTATACAATCATAGATGTCAGATGTAACAGGGACGGGAAAAAAAGTGGACCCCAAATTTATAGAATGACCCGTCCCAAATGCCAATCTCCGACTTTCAGCTCATTTCGTGGTGACAGGTCACAAATATGAGTGGGAACTGTAAATAAAGACTTGAGCTGATGGACCCAGTCAAGTCCACAGTAACTGTAAAAGATATCGGAGATAAGATAACACGCAGGCTTGACTAATCAGGACAAATTTGCGAAAGTGTCACTTTTTTGATAAATGACTGGTCGTATCTGCATCGATGTAAAACTATGTTCATTGTAATTTTCTCTGTTTTAAAGGTGCTGGGGTGTGCATTTACGGTTAGTGTGGGAACCAGCTACCCGATTGAAAATAATACGGCTACCTGGATATTCGCTAAGGCCAAAAAAAAAAAATAGTCTCCGGTTTCTGGTATGCGCGCGCGTCGCCGTAGCCATGCGCGTCGTCAAAATGAAAAAGTTTTTTTTTTCAATGAAAGATGATGTCTCAAAACCGCCAAACTCACTGGTTTGACTGGAATCCTGCTGCTGCACAATTTTAACGTGTTTTTAGATTGGGTTATGGTCGAGAATAAGCTTTATGTGGCCTCTCTGGACTCCATATATTTGCACTAAGTTTAGTCGGGCACCATTTGCAGTCATCAGCCGACATTTGAAGCAAAAAAATCAGGTAAAAAAAATAAAAAGCCGCGTCGCCGCACCACTTTTTGGGCAAGCTCCATACCAGAAACCGGAGACTTTTTTTTTTGGCCTAAGAAAACCAACCCCAAAATTGAAATTCTGGAATGTTGCTGTTCAGACATAAATGTCAACACGATAATACTACCACATGTACACTGTACAGTGAGCTTAGCTTTGTAGTGAAAATTGCATCTTTCGCGAGCGTCAAGAACGTGAAATATGTTTTGTTTTCCCGTGTAGCCCGGTTATCATTTTGAAAATCATTATTTCATTTGGCCATATTATTATTTCGTTCTGCGAATTCGCCATTTCATTCAGTAAAAATCGGTATTTCATTTAGTGAAATCATCATTTCATTGAGTGAGTTCACCATTTCATTTGGCGACCTACCCGCACATATTTCATGTAATTACCGGCAGCGTGTTATTATAATTGGAACTGCTCCCCTTCAGAAATCTGCATGTACTTGAAATCAATTATTTTCATGGTGGGATTTACAATGTACACTGTTGCAGACTGTTCAAAATATAATTATACACAAAAGATGCTTCGGGAAAATTTTATTGGGATGCTATGGCAGGAATATGTCCTTAGCCAATCTACGTTTACATTGTTAGGAACATATTTTGTGCAACTTTCTAATTCTTCTTAAAAGTATGAAAAATATTTTACGTCCTTTTTTGATTAATTTTATTTTAAAATGCACTTCTTTTAAAACGTTTCAAATTTTCCTTGCTTTTCTCGCTCAAAACCAGCCAGAAGCAATTTATTTTCTATATTTTGAAAGGCAACCTGTTTTTGCGATGCAAATTTTTTTTTCGAACTGAGCAAATTTCTGTGTCTGGCAGCTCCCAGAAAGTGGCCCCGGAAATATTTCCATATATACGAAGTTCACTCAACACCCTGTGTACAAACCCTATGAGATTGGACTGAAAATTTTTAAGTGTTTTCTAAGAAAATGCTTGTATTTTCTCACTGCTCAAATTGACTTTGATGACATGAAATTGCTATCTGGGGGCTCTTTAGTCAATACAGAGGAAAATTAGTGAACTTCTTATATGGAAATCTTTCCTGGCCCCTGAACATGAATACCTGGACTCCTTCTTTGGTGTGCCAGCTCATCTTTTTCTGGTTGGCGATCACAGCGGCCGTGACCGTCGTCCCGTTGTTGCCTCCCCATCCCACCAGCATGCAGCCCAGGCGCGGCTTGCGACGCTCCGTGCGAAACGTCACCTGCGTGCTAACAGGTGTAACCTGAAAAAGGGCACAAAAATATTGGGCTATTTCATGAAACACTGTGCTTGAGTGTCCCTAGGCAAGGTACTTTACTGTGATTAAGTTTCTTCACTGAGAGAAATTGGGTATCGTAAGTAGAAAGTTTGGGCTGTTTGGCAAACCACTGTGCTTATGTTAGGGGTGTGCCTTTACGGTCACATGTAGTACAGCAAACGGGTACCCGATTGAAAAAAACACGGGTATCCGTTAAGGCCAAAAAAAAAAAGTCTCCGGTTTCTGGTATGCGCGCGCGTAGCCATGCGCGCTGGCACAATGAAAAAGTTTTTTTTTCAATAAAAGATGATGTCTCAAAACTGCCAAACTCACTGGTTTGACTGGAATCCTGCTGCTGCACAATTTAACGTGTTTTTAGATGGGGTTATGATCGAGAATAAGCTTTATGTGGACTCTCTGGACTCCCATATATTTGCACTTAGTTTAGTCGGGCACCATTTGCAGTCATCAGCCGACATTTGAAGCAAAAAAAACGGGTAAAAAAAAAAAAAGCCGCGTCGCCGCACCACTTTTTGGGCAAGCTCCATACCAGAAACCGGAGACTTTTTTTTTGGCCTAAGAAACCCAACCCCAAAATTCAAGAATCAGAAGTTGTTGCTCAGATGTTTTTCAAAGCTGATGTATGATTACTTTCTCAAATTTTCATTAAAATAAAATGTCCTGTAGCTAAGCGAGCGTCAAAAGCATGCCTTATGTTTTGTTTAAGTACTGTGCATCCTGGTCTTCAATTTTTTGTTTAATTCTGCAAACAACTTAAGCGCGTCATGACGGTTGGAACATCACGGCAAAAATCATCTGCAGCGGATACGCGCAGCACGCATTTTTGTATGTTTGCGCAGAAAAAAATATAAAACGCTTATTAACTGATTGTGCGTTTCCGTTTTGGGCGTAGCGACTTCGATAACGCACCCGTATAAAATACAAACGCAGAAATGCAAATAGCCATACACAAGCCGAACAAAATTTTGAGGTTTTCCATTAGGTTTGTGCACAAACAAGGATGCGCCCAGCAGGCATCACTTTGTACATCGAGTCAGCGCTCTAGTAATTTATAGCTCTATGTATGTACCTTGATTCCGCCACTGTCTCTCTGGACGCGTGTGGTCTGGTAGGTGTAGTCCGACTCGATGAAGTCGTCCGTGTACGTCACACTAGGGCTGTCAACGGTGAAGGCAGCCATGGCTGTTTATCCCAACAAGATCTCAGTTGGAAACGAGTTGTCCCCTTTTCTCTCGTGAAGATGACTGCTGGCAGCAGGCTGGAGTACAGATTGCTTCTGATTCAGTGAGTGGATCTGACGACCAAAGATCGAGGTGTAACCAAATACGTGCGAGCTCAGACTGTGCACCTTTGTGTAGTTTCTTGTATCAATATACCTATGTTATGTACACAATGATTGATAGCAGCTGTCAGTCAATAATAAAAAAAAAAAATAATAATTCAATTTGGGAAAACCACCACCTGTAAGCATCGTACAGCTGTGAAACAGTTGTCAGCTTCTCACAATTGTATCCAAAAAAAGTCATATCGGCCCTCGAGCGTGTGCCAACAATGACACGAATAACGCCTTTTTTTTTCTTTGGATAAACAAAACACGTCATGCAATCCTATTCCAATTAGACTGCTAGTTTTTAACAGCACGTTGGTTTGTTAACTCCAAAATTCTGTCCACATTGTTTCGCACAAAATTTCGATTTGGCTTATCCAGATAAATGCATTTACGTCAATGCACAACAAACCTAATTTTAAAGTTTTCATGTAGGCCTAGGCCTACTTTATTTTGATTTTCTTATTTTTCATTTTTTGTTAGGTGGCACTGGTGTGACACTTGAGTTTGTAGAAAAATCTGTGCTTGATTAGATAGGTAAGACAATGTGGTTCCATTTTAAGTAACTGGAACCAGAGTGCACAAAATATTGTCTAGTCATCAGTACAACAAAAAGTTTGCTAATTATACATCCAAAACAATTAATTACCAACAATTAATTAGGCCTATGTTAAATTTCATGCATGATACTGCTTAATCATTTCATCTTACACCTTTTTAACCAAGCAAGTTCGGATATTTCAATATTTATCTCACATTTCAAAGGAACGGTACGATTTTCCAACCACCGGTCAACTCCTGCAGCGCGCAGCGCAGCGCAGCCGGCCGCGCCCGTGAATCGCTTCGATTGCCCCGGCGAAAACAACGACACTTCCACGGTAAAACTTGCTACATCATTCATCACGTTCATGCACGACAAACCAATTAAAAAAAGGTGGCTAGTTTGATTTAAAACGCCTGGCTAGGTCAGGCTCAAATGTAAGTACCTCGAGGAAGATCAGTGCAAAATTCTCACCAGTTTTTCCGTTAAAATTTAAGAAAAATCAGCAATTCATCATTAACGCATCATGCAAATTTACCGTCGTACGATCATCACGCCATGTCTAGTAGTCTGTGCACAGACTCTGTAACTTTCGTCAACGATAACATAGCTTGTGTATAAGGAGTCTGGCTGCGGGATACGCGTGGTACATACAGCCAACAGCGCCGCATTTGTATAGTATTTGTACACGTGTCTTATTTGTGTACGTCCGTTGACATGTGCTATTTGGGGCGTGGCTCTATGCCCCCACCACCAATAAAAGGTCGGAAGACAGGGGGAAAAACTCACAAAACGCATATTTTTTTTATTTGATTGAAACATGTTCCCTCGAAATGTTAAATTTTCCCCACCATCCCATATTCAGGAATGTTAACTCAAATGCCCTCCATGTACAACCATAGAGGGCCTCCCCCTCCCAAAAAAAACCTCACAAACGGTGGCGCAGCGGCGTGATCAATGTTTCATTATTTTCATAATAGTAGTGTTAGCTTTCATCCAAATCCCGACGCGCCAAAAAAAGGGGAAATAGTTTGAAAAGCAAACAAACAAAAAGACAAGAGGGAAATTGCAGTAATTTTTGACGTTACAAAATTCAACTGTAAAAAGAGCTTACAAGTTACAGTTGCTATGTATACAGGTGAATTTTGAACAGCGCCCCCAATCTTCGGTACGACCCTTGGAGCTATCCGTGCAGGATTGGGGGGGGGGGGGGGGGGGTAGTCAAGGGGCTAGACGCGCGCTTTTCTTGTTTGCTACGCCGATAACCGGCCACCGCGATAACCGGCCACCGCGAGAGGGCGCTATCACGACCAACCAATATCACCCACGAACCTGTCAGAACAACAAAATACATGCACACTAGTTTAAAGAGGTTGTGGAATGCTCCAAGACATTTCCGTCATTTTTCGGGTATATGTAGCCTAAGGTATGATGAAATAAAAACGACTATTTTGTCTGTCATGAAATGAGTACAAAAGGTAGTTTTGAAAGCTGTTTTTCCGGTCCTGTTTCGACCCGAACATGCAATTTGTGTAAAAGTCGTCGTTAGGAGCAGCAAACAAAACATAGTAAATCGTTACGTAACGGGTGCAACCCTGTATTAAAATGCCCATAGACACCATGGATAAATGCCACAATTCTTTTAAAAATACTCAGAACTTAATATAGCTATATATGGGCAAAACGCGTGTTGACAGCTTGTTCAAGTGCATGAGAAACCCAACTGAAAATATTCTGCCGTTTTGAAGCAAAGTGTTGTTTTAGAAGGCGTTCAACTTTAGATGCTGTTTTCTCCGATTGCTAGTTTTGACTGGTATGTACATGGGTGTTATATCGTGGTGTTGCACACATTTACATAGGCTACAGAGCATAATTTTTTGAGTTAAAAAAGGCTGTTTTATTCACAATCCGATTGAAAATACTTTTAAAGTTATTGTGTTTTAATCTACTTAAAGCATAATATGCTAAGTGCCAAGGGATTTTTTTTTACAATCGCAAAATAACTTATGGAACAGTTTGGGTGTGTGTAAAATTCCTATATCGAAAGGTGAATTTGCTCATAGTTTGGATTTTAGTCGTATCAAACCATAACAACGTCTAGCCCCTAGACTACATATTGGCTTAATTGGTAATATTGTAATATTTTCACTTTGTAGGAAATTAATTTTCGGATCTCATATGTCCCTAAGAATTGATTATGTTTTTTTCACCCCAGACACCGCATACTGAAACAACACTGATTTATAGCACTACCTGGCACCAGACTATTCCTAATTTTGCATACATTATTATGCAAGTTTTTTAACATGCAATATGAATGATCCAATACAAGGGTGAGTCGACGCCATGGAACAAGGTAAACGTAATTCCTCCGTTCTTGAATTGGCAGCATAGACTACTACAGGGTGGCCCCCAGGAAACGGAACGGCGTACTTCCGCCACCCTGAGACTCAACCTATAATTCATGGGGAATTCTGTTTTTAAAAAAAAAGGCACCAAGATCGCCCGGTTCGGTCCAGTAGTTTTTGTTGTAGAACCTATTTTGTGAAACAAAGTCCAGAATCAGCTTTGTTCCGATGACTTAAAACCGCACATATCCTAATTGGACAGAGGGGTTAATTTTTAATACCCACATGAAAGTGGTGTGCTTCACAAAATAGGCTCTGCAGCAAAAAAAACTGCTGGACCGAATTGGGAGATCTATATTTTCTTCTAAAAAGATTCTCCATCCATATTGGTACACGTTGTTTGAACCTCCAGGTAGTGGAAATATGCCGTTCCGGGTTTTTTTTTTTTTTTTGGGGGGGGGGGGTTACCCTGTAAGGGTACAATGATTTCACAGGATGCGTGATCATATTATTTTAATTACTCGCAATCAATCGAAGTAGTGGATATTTCATGATATATTTATACCCTTGAATATTTGCTGATGTTGTTCAGCTCAATATTTGTGACATACTGAGGCAAAATGAGGAATGTCCCCCAAAACTTTGTTTTAATTGAGTAAGGCCAAAAAAAAGGCTCCGGTTTCTGGTATGCGCGCGCGTCGCCGAAGCCATGCGCGTCCGCAAAATGAAAAAGTTTTTTTTTTCAATACAAGATGATGTCTCAAAACCGCCAAACTCACTGGTTTGACTGGAATCCTGCTGCTGCACAATTTTAACGTGTTTTTAGATGGGCTTATGATCGAAAATAAGCTTTATGTGGCCTCTCTGGACTCCCATTTATTTGCACTAAGTTTAGTCGGGCACCATTTGCAGTCATCAACCGACATTAATTGAAGCCAAAAAAAAAAAAAAAAAAAACACGTAAAAAAAAAAAAAAACCGCGTCGCCGCACCACTTTTGGGGCAAGCTCCATACCAGAAACCGGAGACTTTTTTTTTTGGCCTAATCGACGCCTAAATTCGGATATAGTAGAAAAATCATGTCAAAATTGATATTGGCTGTTTTGTATTTTTGAGTAGTCAAGGTATCAAAAATTCACACTATGCATTTTTGTTGGGGGAAAAATACCCCCAAAGTGGAAAAACTGAAGTACGTTTATCACCGCCGTTGTCGATGCAATGCGGATCTTATTTTTCAAAGCAGTCTCGAAATGAGGTTGGCGAAGATTGGCCGGACACTGTTGGAGTTCCTGCGCCGGGCGTATCTTTGGAATAAATTCAGCTACAGAAATTAATTTGGTATCGCTGGAAAGCCAATGATTTTCGCTTTAACATGATGTGTAAACTTGAAAATCAAAGGTGGGGGTTATTCCTCATTATGCTATGGCAGGTCACATTATACTCACGACATATTGCTCCTTAAACACTCACTACTAGCCGCTAATTACATTACGAAAAATCACTCCCGTGCAAACTTCATTAGTGATGAAATGATTTAAGAAGGCTATTTATATGCGTGTTTATTTAATGTGATAAACATGGATATTCGTGTTACTGTACAATTAAACGCTAATAAAAAAAATCACTTTTTCCCGGACACTTTTACTTGGAATCAGATTCCACCAATATCCTTGTTTGTCATTTCTCGAACGCTGGTAAAATTAATATCATGCCATTATTTCCTGTTTAAAGGTAACAGAAAGTGAAGCAAGCTTGTTTTCGTGAAAATGCAAACATGAGTCATGACCAATAAAATAATGTCATGTATGTATAAAGCCACTATGAAATATGATGATGGCAACCTCGATGATGAGGCCAAAAAAGTCTCCGGTTTCTGGTATGCGCCTGCGTCGCCGTAGCCATGCGCGTCGGCAAAATGAATTTTTTTTTTTCAATGTAAGATGATGTCTCAAAACCGCCAAACTCACTGGTTTGACTGGAATCCTGCTGCTGCACAATTTTAACGTGTTTTTATATGGGGTTTCGATAGAGTATAAGCTTTATGTAGCCTCTCTAGACTCCCATATTTTGCACTAAGTTTAGTCGGGCACCAAATGCAGTTATCAGCCGACATTTTGAAGAAAAAAAAGGGGAAAAAAGCCGCGTCGCCACACCACTTTTGGGAAAAGTTCCATACCAGAAACCGAAGACTTTGTTTGGCCTAATACAAGTACAAATTAAGATATGTTTATAACATGAGAACACAATGTAGCTTAATGAAAACCAAAACCCGGCTGAAGCCTACTCGACAAAATCTAAAATAAGCAAATACTTAAGCGTTTATAATTATTATTATAATTATTTGTTACTTTTATAGTTATTATAATTACAGTTATTATAGGTACAGTTATGAGGCAGACGTGCCTCACATGAACATAATTTATTTTCCTTTCAGAACTAAACTACTGCCAGTGCACAATTATTGTGCACTCGCAGTAGTTAAGTTCTGAAAGGAAAATAAATTATATTCATTATTAAGCTCTGTGGAAAAATGCGACGCCAACGGCACATACTGAAAACCATAATTTTGGTCAATTTTGATTACATTTCCTCCTTCTGGAAACCGTCCAAAAAGCCACTACACAAAATGGCGGCCACCTTGTTCGAGGGAGATGTACAGCGCAAGTGTGAGTGCACAATACGCTCTGGTCGTGTTGCAAGACGTCTTGCATGAAATCGATCAAAATGATAGTTATCAGGAACCTCTAAGCTGGGAGAAAATAGGTAGTGGAAATTGGTGCTCCCTTGGAGGATAGAAAATATTCGAGTGCACAATAAGCTCTGTCCGTGTTGCAAGAAGTCTTGCATGACGGTCTGGCATGAAATCGATCACAATTATCCCCGCCAGAGCTGAAAATGCGACGCCAAAAATGTAACGCCGAGACACATATGGAACACCATACTTTTTGTCAATTTTCTGGGGACGGACAGACCGACAGACAGACAGACAGACCGATCGACCACCACGTGACATGTGAGCTCCTACCAGAGCTTAAAAATGACATCATCCTTTGTGGTCTAAAACATAATAATAGTCCTTTTACATGCTATAGATATTTTTGCCAACTGAACATATTATTTTCTACAAATCAATCAGGCACAGTTGAATCTATCACAAGTCCAATAGTTATTAAAGAAAGTTAAGGTAAATTTACAAGTTCATCACAAGTGGCAGAGGACTTACAAATACAATTCAAAGGAATGTCTTTGTCCCAGTTCATTTGAATAA